TCCATATTAATGTGTAAATGTGTTACCACACCATCTCAGTACTACTGCACAGCAGGCACCATGCAACAAACCCGATTCAGTGGCACTAATGTGCTAGCAGATTTAACTTTGTTATTTGTCTTCGCCTGCTTCAGGTGAGGTGCTAATCTTAACCTTACTGACACAGTCACTGTATGGTTTCCATTTAAGAAATTGGCTTCAAGCCTATTATGTTAGCTTCTGTTCTTTTATTTGCGACTGCTCACTTGTAATGTCATTTAAAACGTGTGTTGCATACTGTGCGCTTTTATCTCTGTGGTTAAAATGGTTGATCTTTTTCAGCCTGCTGAGATCTAATTTGCTTTATGCCAGCAGTGCTGGACAATAGTGGGCAGGGCAGATTTCTCTCTGAATAGAAAACTGGGGCAAAAGGAGAGAGCTGGCTCTCTATAAAAGAAGGATTAGATGACTGGCGGCCAACATGCAGGACGGGACACACACTCCTCTGTGTTGTTGACTCTTTCTGTTCCCTTTCCTTTAATCGTTCTGTTGTTACAGGTAAACAGTATTGTTAAGATAAAGTTGCCTCAAATACAGTTTCAATACCAATTTATGTTTAACTTAAAGTTTAAAATCAGCATGTCACAAACTTTTAAATGTATACATTTTTTGTAGGCAGTCTTCAAGATAAGGGTAACTGATCCCATGACTTTGCCTTCCCATTAAAACAGTTCTCTCCTTGTAAGAGCTAATACTGCTGTATGAGGAGCTTAACGACACATACTGCTGCTGACACAGGGTTTGTCGTTTAATGTTGTCTTTACTGCCCAGTTTGATTTACAGAATTTGATGAGCAGCTCTTCAAAATAAATTTTCTAAATCTTTTCTTGTTTTATTTTCTATTTTTGTACAGGACTACCAGATATTAAAGGCAGAGCATCCATCTTTAAGGTGCATTTAAGACCTCTGAAGTTGGACACCAATATAGAAGTACAGGCTTTGGCCAGGAAGCTAGCTGCACTAACTCCAGGTTTTACTGGTAAGAAGAAGAGATGTGTGTTCATGTTCACAAGTGTTTACACTGTTTTCTTTTATTACTCTACAAATGTCATACAGTTTGCATGCTGTATTTCTCGCCCAATTTGTTTTCTCACACGACAGGTTAACTTGGTTGTTTTGGCTCCTTTTTATCTTAGGGGCTGATATTGCTAATGTGTGCAATGAAGCAGCTCTAATAGCTGCACGCCACCTCAGCCAACATGTCAACACCAAGCACTTTGAGCAGGCAGTCGATAGAGTTATTGGAGGTAAGTTGACATGCACTTTACATTAGGACAATTCTTATTGTGAACCTATTAGATATAGGTTATAAACCTTCATCAAGTTAGTAAGACATCCTCCTTTCTCTCAGGTCTGGAAAAAAAGACTCAGGTAATGCAGCTTCCAGAAAAGACGACTGTGGCGTATCATGAGGCCGGACATGCTGTGGCCGGCTGGTTTCTCGAACATGCAGACCCCCTTCTTAAGGTAGTCACATCGTTTGCTTTCTCTCACACTGCTGCTTGACCATCTGAATCCACCTTCTGCCCTTGAATAGTTTTGTTTTTAGCCTCTGCAATTAAATAGGGATTTCACCACATAATTATATTAATAATTGGAGTAACGATCATGTACTCCCTCAGGTCTCCATTGTTCCCAGAGGAAAAGGTTTGGGTTATGTGCAATATCTGCCTAAGGAACAGTACCTGTTCAACCGTGAGCAGCTGTTTGACAGGATGTGCATGATGCTGGGGGGTCGAGTGGCAGAGCAGGTTTTCTTTCGGCGAATCACCACCGGAGCGGAGGATGACCTCAGGAAGGTCACCCAGTCTGCATATGCACAGGTATTCACCATATTTTAGAACAAACATGTTAACAAATGCACAAGAAATCAGTAAATTACTGTATGTGACAAAATATTACATTGGGAGTTAATGTTGAGTCATACACTCTTTGAGTCACACTTAGATGCTGAAATGGAAGTTATATAAAATATGGTAAGACTTGTATTAATAATAACTATAAAAGTTGACTCGGTAGGTTTGTCTTCCTCTCATGGAACACCACGAGTTAGTAGTCACTGACGGTATAAAATCAGTCCTAAATAAGCAAAACAAATGTATAAGTCTGATGGGTCAGGTAGTTTGCAAGATGAGCCATAGACCGGAAGACAGACAGAAACACATACACATGTCTTAACGCATGATATCCAAACAGGCTTTTGGGTGCACAGTTAGAAGTCACTTAGCATTTTTGTTAGTTTGAGAACAATGTTGTAATAAAGGCACACAAGAACAGTTTGTTTTGTAACTAACGGCCTGTTTCTCTTCATATTTCAGGTTGTACAGTTTGGAATGAATGATGCGATGGGTCAGATGTCCTTTGACCTCCCTCAGCAGGGTGACATGGTAACAGAGAAGCCCTACAGTGAAACTACAGCCAAGCTCATAGATCAGGAGGTCCGCTTGCTCATAGATTCTGCCTTCCAGCGAACACTTCAGCTCGTCACGGACAAGAGAGATATGGTGGACAAGGTGAGAACTACTCATATCACTGACAAAAAGGATGGACAGAAGTAAAGAGTCATTTTTCCAACACTGTATGAAGAAGCAGCTTGATAGCTAATTCTACTATTTGTCGCAACTACTGCTCATCTGTTCTCGAAGTCAGCAATAAGAAATTACATTTGTATTGATGGAGTTAGCCATTATCTTAAAAATGCTTGTTGTTCACTATAATTGTTCATGTGCTGCAGGTGGCAAAACGTCTGCTAGAAAAGGAGATGCTAGACAAAGCGGACATGGTGGAGCTGCTGGGAACTCGTCCCTTTCAAGAGAAGTCAACATATGAGGAGTTTGTTGATGTGCTGGGGAAATTAGAGGACACCTCTATATCCCAAGAGCCAGAAGGAGTACTGAGGGTGGTAAAAACACTTCCAGAATGAGCAAAACAAATCAGCCCTTTTCCTGTAGTTGGACAATCTACTCAAGGAAAATATTTTAGCTGAATTAAGTTAAATATTTCCGAAGTTTTTCACCATCTGGTCCAGAGTTTCGGGGCTCTGAAAAAAATCCCTGGTTCTCACAGCAGCAAAGTGAGATACGATGTGTTGCACTGGTCTTAAATGGCCTCAATAATGCAATTTTAATTGTAATTGTGGTCTTTATATTCCGGGGGGGAATTACATAAAATACTCATCATGTTATTCTTAGTTCAGTCTGTAAGCCACAGTTCTGTGAGGAGCTGTTTGTCGCTTACATTTCCCTGGGGTTGCCTTCCTCTCACACTGAGATGCAGTTACTTCCACTTACAAAACTGCAACCAAACGCGATTTTTAACATTGAGAATTCATTGACATTGTGTGACGTGTACATGAATTGTGGTTTGTATTTGTCAGTTACACACGTTGCTGGTATCATTATATGATGGTATCAAAGGTGAAATTGTATTCTACAGCTCTATGCCTTCATCGGACCCCAATTTTGTTAATATGACAAGAATGGTTCCTTTTCCGGCTGCCACTTCGTTATGTTGGTGGCTAAATATCTAAAACGTGTTGTCCCTGAGTGTAGAGGCCAGGTTTTTTTAAGATTTCAAAAGTACATTGATTGTTCTTCTGAAAGTTTTAAATATGTCTTCACACGGTTCTATAATGAAGACATCTTTAAATATCTGTGAAGATGTGTCTCAATTTAAATACATTTTTTATCACCATTCAATTCTTCCAGCAGACGTCAGCCTTTCTCAACCAGGTTCTCATTCAGTTATCAGGAGATGCAGCTGTTAGAACTCAGTGTTGCACATATGATACTACATATGTCATGTGATCACATCTACTGTAGACATCCATTACTTGGATTGATGATTACTTAAGAACTGGGAACAAGCAGAGGAAGAATTAAGTACTGTATGAGCTAACAAAATGGCATTTCACACACTCTTTTTCCGGTTAACTAACATTTCTTGTAAATAAACACAAAGGAGAAAGGGCTCAAATTCCAGAGATGAATATTTGAGTTGAATGTTGTCCATGATGACCCAAGCAAGCTAAGCTAAATAACTTCATGTGGCCTAGATGGTTGGTTACACTGTTATTGTAATGTGAATTGTGTCTTCTTCTTTTAGCCAGTTGCTCTTGAGCTGAGTTAACCAGCTCAAATATAAAAACATACTTGAACTAAATGCCTTGCAATATCGGCCCCTTTTCAAAACGTTTTTTTATCAGGTTTTCCAATAGATAGTGAAAAGACGTTTGGTTAAATGACCAGCTTGACACTGGAACATGTGTTGTTCTCTGGTTGTATGTCAGTGTTAATGAAAAATATTGCTTGACAATGCACTGTTCTTGTTCTTGCTTGATGAATATATCTTGTCAGTGAGGATTATTGATTTTTTGGAAAGGAATGTGAGGCTGCTGTGGCTCACACCAACATTAAACAACTTGTATACGCCTCTGTTCTGTTTTATATTCCCGGTTTCTATATTTAGCATTTTCTGTATTTCTTTATTATTACAAAAATGTCAGAATTCTATTGATACTGTTTAACAGTATGTTTATTCTGGCATGTGTGGTGCTATTAAATAACACATAATCTAATTGTATGCAGAACCTCTGTTGAATTACAAGTTACATTTGAGTATTTGTCTGGGATGTAAGCAAATACCCTTAAAAACAAGTTATTTAAATCAACTTCAAAAGAATACAAATCGTAATTTCCAAAAGTATGTGTAACCTGTGTGAACAAGCCACAATCCCATTAGAAATACCTAAAATAAATGTTTAGATATTACTTAAAGTTTGAGCAACCAGTGTGCTTTCTCTTTTGCAGAACATACCTTTGTTAGCCTTTGTCTTAATAGATATTTTTGTGAAAACACCATCTACAGTTGCCGTTGCTGTTGTGTTAAAATGTTAGGGGTTGCCACACAGTACCAAATGGGGCTGCACTCAAAGTGTAGTTAGTAAATGACAGGAGAAAATGTTCTTTTTGATGACTTTTATTTATTCTTCCATCATCCCAGTGTCATTTGATCCATCTTGCCACAGTATTCAGAATTATTGGCACTCCCGGTATAGACAAGCTAAACGTCAAATAAATGCATCAAGTAATCAGCTATAACCCTTTCTTTAAAATATGTGAAATATTGCATCATGAGTGGAAAGAAATCTTTCAAAAGATAATTACAAAATTGTTGGCACTTTATTGTGTTTTTGGCATTCATGCAAAGTTCACTGAAGTCCACCTGATGCAATTCTCCCTTTATTTCTAACTGCTTCACCCATCAAGTTAATGCATCCTCAAACTTTAAAGAACCAACTCTAATTACTCCAGCACTCTGAAATAATAAAAATGGGATTTATTTAAACATATGGTTGGACCATTGTTTTGCATATAACTTGTTACTTATTTTTGTTAACCTGTTCTATCATCTGTACCAAATGCCAATAATTCTGGGGGGCACTATTTTACAATTCAGTGAGAGAAGTGCAAAACATTTTATTTAGGCAATCATAATAACAACAATACACATTCTTCACTAAGATGAAGAAGGTATGGTGGATATAAAGAGCGAGGCCTTACTGACATCTACTTCCACTGATCAAGTTACCTTTATTGCAGGCAACAGAAATACCCTGTCACACTTCTTAAGTGATAGCCTTAGCAAGATATTTCATTTTGAACAGCTATTGATTTGTGTGTCTAATCATATCCTGGTCATTCAATTTGAATCCCAAAGTCTGAAATTCACCATGAAATGACTAGGCACACGCTTAGGACACAATTTAGGAACCAAATCAAACTGTCCAGGCTATTTCACACCCTGAGAGGCTGTGAGGATGGAGGTGCTGTTATTCTGCCGACCTCATACCCTGTCTGTCATCCAAAAACAAAGATTACAATTGTATGTCAGTCCAGAGTGCATTAAGAACCCTTTGATGAAAATCACAATTATTATTATGTGTAGAGAGAGGGAGAGAGGAGAGGGGGGGTGTGTGTATTGCACATCTCAACATGTTGGAGTACAGAGCTTGTCCAGAGCTCATCCTGAACACTGTTAACGTTGTGTGAGTGTGCAGGGGCAGATTTGGTCCGCTTTGTTGTTCTGCTCTGGCGGTGTCTTTCTTTCTTTCTTTCTTTCTTTCTGGCTCTGGGTTTTCTCTCTTTGCTGTTTCCCGTCAGATGTCACGGCTGCTTCGGCCTCTCCAGCTTCATTAAGGGCTCTGCGGTGTCCGAGTCGCTGTGATGCTTCCTCTCCCGCGGGTGTTCAACTCTGCTGCAGCGTGTCCACGAGGGAGAGCGCATGTACCCTCCTCTGGGCAGTACAGGCTGGTGGGAACCTGGGGACCAAACACACAATGAAGTTACAATGAAGTTACTAACAGGCATCCTGAGTCTGGAAGATACTAATATGGAAGCAGACAGAAGGAAATCATTTCCTAATTCTGTCAGCTTGCACATAACTATAACTTTATAATACAATGTAATGGTACTTGGCGTCAGTATACAGCTTAACACCGGCTGATGACATATTTCAAAGTAATATAACTTAACTGCAACAGATACCTTACAGATAAAGTTGGTTTCTCCCAACCATCAGCAAATTTAAAAGGTATAATGACTTAAGTATAATAAACTTCTGCTTGTCTTATATTGTACTTCTTAAATATATATGTTCAAATATATAACACAGTATTCATGTGTTAATAGGCCCAATGTTTAGTTTTAAGGAATGAGCTGCCAACAAAATTAATTAAACCCTCTGGAGAGCTGTGAGAGGTTTTTTTATGACAGCATTTTCAAGTATCAAGATTGATTTACCTACATTGGATTGACTTTACCAATTTATAACAGAACTTATGAAGAAATAAACCTCTAGTGAGTGGCCCAGCCCTTCCTATATTTTTCTGTATGTGGCCCTCAGTGAAAAAAGTGACACCCCTCGTCTATAGCATACCTACACACTCTGCATGTGCGCACACACACACGCACACGCACACGCACACGCACACGCACACGCACACACACACACACACACACACACACACACACACACACACACACACACACACACACACACACACACACACACACACACACACACACACACACACTGTACATGCCAGCTATTTCTAGATAGGCAACAGGTTCTTGTAAATGCGAGATTACAAGCTGTGAAAGTGTCATAATGCTTAGATTGGATAAGAAACTTTAAAAAAAGAATCTAATTTTGATTATGATCTCCAAAAGCATTCCTCAAACCAAAAGCTGCTTTCGCTTTGTAAAATCCAGTAAACACATAAGTACTATAACAAATGTTTTAATAATACAAATGTTATAAAATACAAATATTTATTTGTTCAGTTTTGTTGTCGTTGCCGTTGCCGCTTTACACCACTTGGTGGTGATGTCCAACCTGTCAGGAGAACAGAAAGACGACAGGGGAAGCTGTGACTTGCTCTATTCACACTTCCCAGTCTAATGTTGGGGCTCTGGAAGGTCACACTGGGAACCTGGCTCATATATCTCCCTGAAGCTACACCCATAACCTCACACACATTAGAGACTGACAGACGAGGAGAGAGGGAAAAGAGGGAGGAAGAAAAGGCGTATTGATCTAAAAAGATTGATGGCGTCTCCACTGGATTTTAATGAGGGACAACAACCTCCTCAGCAGCACGGAGGCGTCAGCAATGCCACGATCACCTGCTTGATCGGTTGTGTGATTACATTTATGTGTGTCTAATCTGTTTTAACCAGGAATAACAATTTTCCATTCCTTGAATACTTTCAGATTTTTGTTGACCTGTTTTTACCCCTGATGAACATACATTCAGGAAAATAATTGGAACACACTAAGAGAAATGTTTGCACACCTGAGAGGTGACGTCATGTCACACAACACACATATTTTCCTTTTTACTCTCTCGCTCTCTTGCAGTCAGAGTACCCGGAGCGATGGCGTACTGCACTGTACTCCTCCTGTGCTGCTGGATAGAAGCCATTTGATTTTTCAGTCAGCGTGTTGCTGCATAACTCAATGTTTCTTAGACACTAGACTCTCCTACAGAAAACATTTAGGCACAGGAAAACAACCGTTACATTTTCCGTTCATATGTGCACAAGCGCACATGCAGAGTGTGTGACAAAGACCTCCTTATTAAACCCAACTAGGTAAACAATACTTGTTTTATGAGTGTTGGTGAATTGGGGCATGTCTATTTGTCAAAGGTTAAAAGCCAAAGCAGCCCCAAAGGCAGTAAGTTTAACATTCAAAGGAGCTTTTATAGAGGATTTATTAAAATTGGTCTTGTGGTCCTAAAGGATAAATGGATAAATAACAACTGAATTACACAAGATAGGAAGCTGACACCCTACAGGCTAACATTTCATACATGCTTCACTTGTGGCCACAATCCAAGCAGTGACATCCCTGCAGGGGTTTGACAGCAGATTGTAAACTGATCATTAGGGTGTGCCCCTCTTATGCAGGTGTGTTGTGTTTCAAGTCGATTGATCTGCTATGTACCACACAACACGTATAAACTGTTAGTTAAGAAACACTATATGGACAATACATTTATGTTTCTGTTTCCCCTTTTCTGCATCACTTCGCACGTCTACTTGTCAACAAATCCTCAGCCAAATCCTTCAAACAAACTCCCGTTCTCAAACACGACTCAAATCAACCATACAAAAACACACTGCTTATTAATATTCTGAAATGTCGTCTGCTCAAACTCCGGAGAGAGGAAGATGGGAATGGACAAATGGAAGAAAGACAGCATGGTAAACAAAACAAACAAGAGACAAGCATCTATAAATAATGTGCTAGTGTAGTAACTCAGAGTACGACATATTATGATAGTGTAAAGGCTTTTAAGGACCAGGCATTGTTCCCAGCAGGGAAAAGTGAATAATTCAGGAAGAACCTACATTTAGCATGAACTCGCTCACCCATTTGTCTCCTCTCCTCTTCCTTTAACCTCTCCCTCAACTCCTACATGCCCTCAACGCACTGGCACACACTCAGCAGTTTCCCATAGAGAATAATGCTCACACAGCACAGCTCAATTCTACCACATTTGCATTGCAACCTTTGACAAAAACTATTGAAATCAAACATTTTTCAACAGCCCCCGCCCTGAACACACTGATGACTTACCGAAACTCATAAATCCTTGCATGAAAGAAAAAGGCTGAATAATTGCTGAGGATTTAACGAGATCCAGGAATTCAGATGTAACAGAACAGCTGGGATTTATGGATCAATCCATCGTCCAATTGTGCATCGCTGTTTGCATAAATCCTTTCTCACACACACACACCCACCCACTGCCATTGTCTGAACAGCCCAGTATCTGTATGGGAGGATAGATGTTCTTGTGTGAAATATATCATGTTGCTACTTTAGATTGCTGGAGAATTACGAGAAGTGTATTTTCATAATGAGGATGCTTGAATTTTTCAAAGGAAAAAATATGAAGGGGCAACGACAGCAGAAATCAAATGCACAAATCAAGCATTAGCGTCCTATTGTATATGTGACTCAAAATGATCACAGCATCAAACGTCTGCAATTGAAATAGCCTCATTCCAGAAAGCTAATTGTATAGAGCTGTGTCTTTCATGTCTTTTGTGATCATATGATTTTCTAAAAGTGTTTTGCTTGAGTATCAGCCTGAAGATTTTCTATAGCAAACGTTGTTGCCACATCTGTCTGGGATTTTTATACTTTCATATACAAGCCATGAAAGAGGCAGACATGGAGACAGAGATTGGGAGTGAGGGATGGAGACAAGCTAAGAGACAAAGGGTGAACGAGAGGAGGATTGTGTCTGAGTGAGACAGCTCAGAGGTAGAAGCGGGAGCGCTGAAGAGAGGCACTGATAGATCTCATGTCGAAAAGGTTAAAGACTTTCTTGGAGGAGAAAAATAGGTTTGCCACTTTTCAGGTGGCTGATTTATTTGTATTCAAGGTTAATGTTGGTAAAAATACAACAGGAAATGACACACGCTGCTCATTGTGAGGTTGACAATTGTATTAACTAACAATAAGAAGAGATCAATCATCTGAATATGTCAGTCTGAGAGTGGAAACATTTAATCATTGTAGGATTTTCTTTTATCTCTCGCAACGGAGGCTATGTAAATGAAATCAGTTAACATCATTACAGCTGCACGCCTCCTGACAGCAGGTCTTCAGCTTGATAAGAGCAGAGCAGCGGATGTCCGGCTTTGCAAGGCCTTGGACTAAAAGCTTCTGGGCTGTTGAGAGCAGCTGAGGCCGGATTCTGCTCGGCTGTGTGAACATGTGTTTAAAACATTTAGGAAGGACAATATGTATGGCATATAAGTATAGTTTACCAACTTGTTTTATAGGTTTATGTTTTTGGTATTTAATTATGTTTGCATATGAGAAGCTGTAAAACATTTTGAGCTATCATCATTAACCACACTGAACTGAAATGAATTAATCATTGCATAATGTGATTTCTAATGATGCATCTAATCTGAAATAATGAATGAAATTACTTTTGGATTAATTGTGTTTCCCCAGTAGAACAATGCTATAAATGACTTGATTTCACTTTTGAAAGGAAGCATAGTCATTAAGATGTTTTATTTAAGACAGTTGAATGTCATAGTTAAAAGACTGCAGTGCTGCAAAGTCACTAAACAGTCTAAAGTGTGAAGCATCAAACAGCAGACGGAAACAGTTAGCAAGCAGGTGAAAATACAGGGGCATTTAGCAGCTAAAGAGACAGATATTTCCATCAAATGGCTAAAAAGAAGATATATATAGGACTAACATTAATCAGGAGGCCAGAAGCACAACTCCCTATGAATAATAATGTCGCTCCATAACACCAGGATGTGTAAAAGTAGCTGTTCACAATACTTAAGGATATAGCATATCAATGTTGCGTTCACAACCTGTTTCAGCTGCCCCTACGCAGGCAAACACATGTTTTAATGCAGTTTTACGTAGATCCATATGATCTGTAACTCTGTCTGTAAAGAAACATTATGGCATTTATCTGGTCATGTTTTTGTTTTATTGTTGTACTTGTACTAGCAGAGACTACGCTCAATGCACAAGGTTTTACTAAGAAACAAAGAACGTAGGTCTTTGAAGTCATAAATGCGCCTCTGCTACTTTAATTTAAATAATTGGCAGTGGAGCTGCAGACAGCAGCATATAGCACAGATGGCCCATTGGGACCATAACTCACACTTAACGCTGTGCCGCGATATGATACATTAGAAAAAAAACATAAAAAAAGAAGTGAGATAATGCTGTGAAAGGAATATATGCTAAGTGAGACATATAAGAGAAAATAAGAGTGACAGAAGCATGTAGAAAAGTATGAGGAAAACCCAGATTATTAACATTTTAAGATGTCTGTCTGGAAGTACGGCTGATGACCCAAAATCAGTCAAGCACTGTCCTTCTGTGGATTCAAACTGTGAAGTCCATTTAGTTCTTTTAATGTCATTGTCCCCAGAGTGATGAATATCTGTTTTGAACCTTTAATGTATTCTCAGACAAAGTAGAATAATTGGTTTCGCCCTCAGTCGATGAAAGTGTCACAATCGAAAGTATGACATTTTTATCAAGAACATTTCTTCTTGCTTTTTGAAGGGCACAGTCCATGGTCAGAATATAAAATACTTCTAATACATTGTTTAAATGACGTCGAGAGACCTTTAAATCTTATGCTACCTTGAAATCCTGTGTGCATGCTGAAGAGAGAGTTCACTGTCCGCATGCAGGATGAGGCTCTCAGGTCATAAATAAAACATGGGCAAAGATTTTGTGCTTCCTCTTGCGCATCAGGGGAGAAAGACGACTTAGTGTTTATGCTGTACAGTACCTGCTGGGTGACACACATGCAGGGTCTGCTCTTTAATATACAATTGTGCATGACGCTCAACAAAACAATGTCTTCTTTATTACTGCTTTCCAGAATGACGGAGTTCCTAGTTGACATTTTTTGACAGACTTGAAATAAAACAGTTTTACATGAGAATCAGAAAGGATGGAACAATGTAGAAAAGGCAGTCAAACCTTTAGGGGAATTTATCGAGACACTGCAATGTGTTTCCAAGGAGTCCCTGAAGGGAGTCACTCAACATTTAAAATCATTACTGATCAGCATGATGTAAAATACCGTCCAGCTAACACACACACACGCACGCACGCACGCACGCACGCACGCACGCACGCACGCACGCACGCACGCACGCACGCACGCACGCACGCACGCACGCACGCACGCACGCATTATCTGTGTTTATTGTAAAACCATATACATATCATTTTTCAGCAGGCCTTACCTGCTGGGGACTCGTTGTGGGTCTCCTCGTCAGAGTCAGCAAAAACTTCAGCCAGCTCCTGGTCGGACATGTCCGTCAGCTCAGTCAGATCCAGGAGGTCAAAGTGCACCTCCAAAGAAGACACACTACTCAGTGGTTCTGTGAGGCACAGGGAGAAAGAGGCATACTTTTAATCTAGAGGGAGGATGAGAGATGAAAATGATCCACTAGTTTTTCTGCTGAGAGTGTAGAATAAAGAAAAATAAATGAAGTACCGCATATATTCTACACAGAGCTCCTCCGCCCATCATGCAACACTCTTGCATCTTCATTGTTCTCATAATCAGATCAATAGATGGCTCACAGCATTGTAAAATCTATTTCCAACAAAGAACAATTGTACTCTTTCATTCGCCTACATCTCTTGCAAGGATAAGTCTCTGTACTTCAGTCATATTTCTCACAGTAGATGACTTGAATATGCCTCAGAGCTCCCCACTCTACACCTGTGTGTTAATGCAGTCAGAGAATAATTGAAACAAGAGCCAAGGAGATGAAAATAGCCAGTCTTTAACACATTGTGATCTCCATCTTTCCCCTGGGTGTGTTGCACCTGTTCATTTCTGCACAAAATTCCTCGACAGGCAGGAGTCACTGCTGCTTCACGGGGTCACATTTAAATCAACGTGTGAGGCTCAGCATTCCAAACAGGCTGACCTCAAACCTCATATGGTAATGTGATGGAAGACAAATGTATTCAAAGACTCTGTATTACATACATAAATCCTAGCGAGGGTCCAACAGCATCTGCTTGTCTCAGCATCGCTCGAGTTAGGAACATATCCCTGTGTAATAGAGCTGAACTAATCTGCCATTATAGTGAGAAAGATGTTTGGAGACAGCACTGAGGCAGGTGTGTTTGTATTTCCTTATGAATCAGTGGATGCCTGTCTGCCATGCAACGTCAAGACTGAATTAAACACTTCACTAATTGTTTGTGGGCGTGACTTTGTGGAGAAAACGATGGGTTATGTGACAGGTTGAAAGCTGTTATTGTCCCATGTTGTTCCCCTGCTGTTTTCCAGGCTGTTTAGACAAGGCTGTAGGTTGAAGAGGCAAAACCCACTCTCCTGCTGCTACTGTTGAATCTAATTCCCTGCATCCTGCTTAAGCACATATTAATATAAAGAAGACTGATCATCACGCTGGAGCAGTGGCTGGTGATGCGATAGTTAATAAAAACACTCAATATCATAAATACCGGGAGACACAATGAATATAACATAAGTAAGCAGTGATTTGAGAGAATGCAAATAAGGATATGAGCAATGAAAATGTAGTAAGACTATGTTCAAGGGGATGAAACCCCAAGACCAATGTCCCCTGTCCTTTATTTTACAAACCTTCTGCTCTACTCCAAATGTACAGTCAGTTTTTCCGTCATGTTTACATACAGGACTAGGTCACATGTCGGCCAAGACCCAGGCAGATATGATATGCATGAATATTTAAAAAGTTAGTGGCCAGCATATAAAAGCCCCACAGTAACTCAAGAAAAGAAAAGACTGAAGGAAGACCATAAGAGATGCAGAAAGAGAGAAATAGAGGTGTTATTTGTATAATTTTAGACTTTAGGACGATTAAAAAGCATATCAGAACTAATCCTTTTTAGTATAGTATAATTATTTATGCTATTAGCCATTCCCATTTTGAATGTAGAAGGTTTTAACACTTAAAAAGAGACCACCTATGGGACTTTTAGCTTCTCCCCGCTGCTTACTGTACGTCTTAGCTCACAAATGGCCAGATTATTGATTACATGCAACTTTCATACAGGAATGTGAAAATAGCTGCCTGAGGCTTGACGTCACATTACTCCTTTACAGTACAATAATATAATTGTCTTATAAGTCACTTCATCAAAGGGTAAAGCTCAACAGTTTCCATTACCACCACAATTAAACAGCAGCAAAGAAAAGCAGCAGACAACATTCACATCACTCTGCTGTCTGATAGTAGTTGAATATATTCATTGGAGAAACACTGCATTAAGCAATTACTGGTTGACAAGAATCACATAGAACCTGCCTTTTTCTATTTCTTTCTTATTTCTCATCACTTGCTTTTTGACTGTGTTTTTAAATATATTTGCTTTCCTCTCAGGCTGTGAGGTGCCTGCAAATAGCTATCACTCTTTTTGACCCCCTTTCCAGGGAGAGTGAAGAAACTGGTGGCGGGGATGTTATTAAAGAGGGGAATATGAAGGGAAACGAGGGAGAGGGTGGATGCTGGGAAAAAGAGAAGTGAAGCTATAAGAAAGGGAAATGTTAAAGAATAATAGGGGAATAAAAGAGAAAGTATTTTGCGGAAGGAAGGCATTATAAAAAGAAATCCCTGCATTAGTTTCTGCCATTTTCTTCAGTTGGTTAAAAGGTTATTCACATTCTGCTTTGCTTGTTTTTAACCTCATCTTCCCCATCTTCTTTGTTCCTCTCCCACACCCTTTTTCTTTAAATAATTGATCAGTGCGTTCTTTCTTCCAGGCAGACACACTGAAACAACTGCCTCCATCTCAAAAGCCAATCAGGAGGGCTTTGCGACGGCAGTGGAGAAGACTGACAATAGAGAATTCACACTGAGACCAAAAAAGGGGACTTTGTGCCTAAAGCAGATGATTTAAAAGAAGACTGCCTTTTTCTCACAGCAAGCTACAGTCTGTTGGCCCATACAGTCAAATGTGTGTCGTCTGATCTGTTTCAACTCCTTTCTGGCATATTTTTCATCATTTGCTTGATACCACACTTATGAATTCATGCCTTTGTAGTTCAAATTAAAATGTCAGAAATAAAGGTACCATCAATTCACTGAAAAATAAAAGCATTTTCTCCTTTAATTTAGAATATCACAGCAAGACAAATAAGTGTCTGCAGCATGCTGTCAATTTAATAATCTATCAAAAGGATTCCTTTCATTTAGTTCAGTTAGTTCATTCATCCGTTAGATTCAACGGATGGAACAAAGAATAGGGAGGATGGGTATGAGGGAGGGGTTAACATTTGGGAGAAGGGATAAGGGAGCAAAGGGAATGTGCCTTGCATGCTGAAAACATGTAATCCCCTCCCTCTCTCTACTGGCACATCAGGGCTCTGAGGTCATTTTTCAAATCCGAGAAGCTTGTACTGACATCTAGGCTTTGATTGAGTGGAGAAGATTGAGAAAGGACTACGGTATGAGACAGTATAATAAACAAGCAATGCCAAAAAAACATGTTCTCCTGCATCTGTTGCTCGTGGGTTATTTTCTCCTCACAGCGACTGAGCATGCAGCCATCCTCACTTGTACAGTTATTTTCTGTTGCATTGTTTGCCAATCAACCGCTGACAGGTAAACAAGCACTGATTTCTAACAGCGAATCCATCAATTTGAAAATGTCATAACAGTTTTAAAGAAAAACATGATTTTACAACACCCTGCTGAAATGTTTGATGAATAATGCATGGTTTACCCTGACATGAGTTTATTTAAAGATTTAAATCAAGTGGAAGGAAAGTTTGTGAATCCCACTTTTTTTCTACATGATTTTGACTTCAACTTTACTTGCAGTTGCAAACAACTCAAACTTGCTCTTCTCATAAACCTCTTTTTAAGGGAGGCTGTTTGCTCAAGGTCTAAAAATAAATGTTGAAGATGAACTATAGTCTGTCTTTATGGAAATAAAACTGCAGCACTAGGGAGGAATGGCTTTCCGTGTCATTAAATAAGAAGCTGCAATGTGGCTTTGTGGACAACAAACTTAAATGAAAAATATATTTTAGAGCACGCACTCTTTTTAAAATGTCTGATCAACAGGCATGATCATTTTGATTAAATGTTTTCTCAGGATGGGATCTGTTCTTTCTTTCTCTATGCCACACAAACTATCAGCTGACCTGTCAGGTGGCACGGTTAGTTAGTGGGTCACGTCGAGACACAGACATTAGCTCCTGGATGAGTGGCCTCTCTGAAAAAGTGTTTGGTTGGTGAAGCAGATAAAGGTTCCCTTGTCACCCGTGCAGCCCCAGTATCTGCCTCTGTGCCTGGGCTATGAGTCTGGCACGTACAGGGCAGCTTCTGTGAGGGACTGATGCACAATGAGTCCTTTCAACTCAGACTGAGCTGCAGTGGTCTTTGAGAATGTGGGACTAGAAAACCTGAAATAGGCAGCACTAACTCAGTGGGTTTATAGTTTGGAGCAGATCCACCTGAACTCTATTGGATGAGGATGTAAATAGACCAGAATAAGATACCTGACATGTTGTAGGAGATAGCTTTATGGGGAATTCATTATGTGTTACTCCATTTTACTGCACATCGATCCAGTAGTGACTGCCTCTGAGAAGACACTCTTTAACAGAAGCAGGGTGTCTTCTGTCATCTTTATTCAACATTTGTTGGAAACAAATGTATCGATCAAATATCTTGCTCAGAGCATTTCCACCCATAATTACACTATTATGCAACAATAAATGTTCATCACTGTTTCACATTCTGAATATTGACTTCTCAATACCCTGCACTTCCCTGGGTACTCACGTCTTTTCTCAGCGATGTGCAGGAGGCTTGCAGTGTGCCCCAACAGGCTGCCCTCCTCCTCCTCCCCTGGGTGGTGGAACAACTCCTTGGATATGTCACCGGAGCTGGAGGGCTTCAGCAGCTTCTGGATGTCTTTGTTGGGATCTATCGGCACACATAGGCACAGAACAGATAGTCAGAGGGAGCCAAGAGAACAAAAAGATAGATATGTTGATAGGTTTTTAAATTTTTAATAAAGGATATCTTTAGATATACTGGGTTATTGCTCTGTAGATCTCAGATTAAGCTCCAAGAAAACTGATTTGGGACAATGAAGGGGAAGATATGGGTTTAGTGATCCTAAGCACTAAGAAGAGGCAATTTTGGACCCACTGTTTAAATAATGTTCCGTATTTGTCCTCCACGTTTACCCAATATTACATTTTCCCAGTCAATTACTAAATTAAATTGACATTAATTCTCAGATAACTAACTGCGTCACCAATCATCTTTTCCTATGTCTTTTGTCAATCCTGTATGCATTTCTGTTTACATCTTTGTGTGCATGTGAAAACACAGTGTTGTATGTTGTATAGATATGTGATTCATTGAAAGAAGATTGGTTAACTTGCCTGTTGTTATAGTTGTTACATAATTGTCATTTTAATGTTTCTATAAACAATATGCATTCTGACAGCCTGGCCATGCTTTTGAAACCAACACATCCATTCAAAATTGGAAAACAAGTTCACACAGGCTATTAACAAAGTCTTAAAAATAGATAGCACCTAAAATAGAATCCCTTCAAATGCAGGAGTATGCACAAACTCAGTTCGTCTGTTTGACACAGCTAAAGTGGAGTGAGACTGTGATGAGACTCAGTGAGGTTAGGAGAGGAGAACAGAAAAGCTTTTAATTTAACTGAAATAATACAGAAATTGAAATTGCAACATCGACTATAGACAAATTGCAGGAGGCTCATGTGATTTGGTGGTTACAACAAATCAAGCATGTTGGATTTATTATAGAATAGAGTTTTTATAAATCAAAACTGAAAACTGTGTATGGAGCAACATTTAGCAACATGGCAGGATGGCTTTTTTTTCTAATAACATGTAGATCTGATGGAAAGAAGTGTGGGAGTATAGCAGATTTCTGATGGGCCTCACCAGATGGCTGCTGGTAGATATTTCTTCCTGCAGTATGCTCTTAGACAGTTGAATTTCACATTTCAGTTTCACCGAAAGCTAAGCCAGAACAAGATGGATTCAGCTTTTACTCTGAGAAGCAGTGTTCATTGCATTCTATTGATTAATTTCCCCAGCGAGAAGCCACAGAAACTGAAAGGCTATAAAGTTACCTCTGCTGTTATAATGAAATGTTTGTTCAATATTTAGACTATCTACGAGCAGCTTTGGATTCCATTACCATCACCTTCTTCAGCAAATATCCATAGTAGAAAAAAGCAGGACTTCCATTGCCTTAAGGCAGTTTATCCTCCGTCCCTCCACCAAAGCTAATTTGATCCATTAACTCTAAAATTGGATTGGAAGAGTAGAGGGCTGTTGGAGTTGCAGTGGATTATTAAAAAAAACTTGTAATAATCTATTTGTGTTTCATAAGGAAATATAGAATACACACAACTTTACTGCATATCACATAAAGACATGTTTACATTTTTAGCCACAGATACACCTACCATCTAAGACAAATGCGTGTGTAAATATACTTCTTCATGTATGGCTAAATGTTTTATATTTTGATGGAGATGAGATTGGCTCTCAGTAAGGATGTTTGTTATGTGACAGAAAAAACAGATCTTTCAAGAAAGTCAGAATACAATCTGCGTGTAAAGGAGGACAAGTTTACACAGATTGCCTGATTGAGCCGCCACCTGCGAAAGCGGCTGGGAAGAAGTTAGAATAAAAATCAAGAAATAGAAGTTTATGCAGACCCTGTCTAGCCGTGACTGTCTGTGAATCAGCTAACTCTAGACATCAGACAGACACACAGACAGACAGACAGACAGACAGACAGACAGACAGACAGACAGACAGACAGACAGACAGACAGACAGACAGACAGACAGACAGACAGACGGACAGACAGACAGACGGACAGACAGACAGACGGACAGACAGACAGAGAGAGGAAAAGAAAAGGAGAGAGATGGAGGATGAAAATTATGTAGTGAACATTTGCCAAAGGTTTAATCAAACCCAGTGTCCTGGTTCAATAAATCAATCGCTGTTTGTAACGCAGGCAGGAGGAATTACCATCCTCTCTCAACACCATTTTCACAAGAGCATTTAACTTGATGATTGCTCTTCATCTTCTGTACTTTAAAGTAATTGGATGCATTTATTGTTTTACTATATATCTTTTAGAAATTCTAAATCCAGAGTATATATACTCTGGATTTAGAATTTCTAAAAAGATCTCTTAACATTGATGACCGAATTACTGTGCAGAAGTTAGGGATACGTAGACCCCAACATTCAGTCTCAGTTTATAGTGTTTTGGTGCGTATTCCAAAATATTATCCTCACAGCTATAGGCTTAAATTATGTGGCTGTTGGCACAGAGCAGCCATAAAACAAAAACTGCACTTCACAAGTCCCACTTAGTGACCCATTCCTCTGATACATCATAATAATGTTGTTCACTCTAATTCAATATCATCGTAATGAAGAAATAATCTCCCAATTTGTCATGGGCAGGTAATTCTGGCCCTCAGCAAGAACAAGTAGTGGTTGGATACTGTCTGTAAACAATGATTGGTGGAACAGAGCCATAGCAGGAAGATAACATTACCCATTATATCTGTCCAAATTGCAACTTATAGTGGCTGCAGAGACATTATTTTACCCTTGAGGTAGAACAGAGTAATAAAGCATCATTTTAATAGTGCTTGAATGCACCCTGCTGGTTCAGATGCAACTAATGTAATCTGCTGACAAATAAACGACCCTTTTATGGCTTTGCCTCATAGTATGATATACATGTATATTAATGTATCAAAGCTCATGTTATAATGATATTGTCATATTTATAGACTGTACTTCAAATAGGAACTCAGATACATTCCAATACTCAGCCTACTATGTATACAAGCACAGTTACATTTGCAACCCTTTGACTGTTTAGATGTTACAGTGCAATAGTGAGGCATTGTGCAGAGCTACCAAACAGCACAGGCGTCTCTGGATGGTCTTTACACAAAGGCCACAGCCATCCACTATTGTACTACAATTTGTATTTCAGTCCAGCTTTTGCATGGTTGACCTTCAGTGTGTGGATATAAAAAGACCAGTACTGATGGGCAATAGACTCAACATGAAGCTTTAGTGTAAAATGAACCCTCTACAACTGGATCCTATAGGAGAGGGGAAATGACCAAGGACAGAGCATAGTAAATAGTGCACTGCTATGTTTATACCTTATCTATATCAGTGACTTAATTTTGACAACACAAACACCAAAGTGTAGTTATATGATTTAAACCAGCTCTTCTGACAAATATCATCCAGTCCTCCCATTTAGAAAGTGTCCACACAAATATTATAAAAAGACACTAACTTACTACACACAGGGTATCCAGACCACAAATCATTCCAAAGACAAAGACACTCAGAAACAACCATGCTAGAGAGAAAATAAAGAATAAAAAATGGCTTTTACCTGGGCTCCCTGCCCCTCCCTGTGCCTCCATGCAGCTCAGCTGAGTGTCCTGCTGTTCACCACACCAGCATCAGACAGTGGAGGAGACAAACAGGGAGGGAAGAAGGGAGAGGCAGGGGGAGAGTGTGTCTGTGTGTGCATATGAGAGAGAGTAGGGTTGGGTGGGTTTGTAGACACGGCAAGACCTCTGCTCTCCAAAGACTCTGCTCCTCCTCTTCCTTTTTCTGTTGTCGTTCGTACTAGATTCCCCCCACAGGTGATGTTGGTAGCTGTTCTTGCTCAGTGCACCTGCCCCGCTCTGCCATCAGAGCCGTCTGACTGCTGCACTGCCTCACAGAGCGAGTCCACCACAGAGAGGGAGGTCTGGGAACAGCGACATCACTGAAAATGTCTAAGCCACTTATTTCAGTAAATGCAGCATTGAGAGGCTTGGCTTGGTATGTACAGAATACACAGAGAGTGAGTGAAACAGAGAGAGAGAGAGAGACAGAGAGATATCTAGTACAAAAGAGTGAGAGAAAAAGAGAGAGAGGGAGAGAGGGAGAGAGGGAGCGAGGGAGGGTTGTGCTGGCAGCCTGCCCAGACTCAGAGAGAATGGGGTGTCAGGGAGGTCTATGGGCCACTGGAGAGAGGAAATTGTGTGTGTGTGCCTGTGTGTGGATGAGTATGCCCGTGTGTATGTCTATGACTGTAGCATAACAATGTCTGGATATAGAAGTTATTAAACCTGATGATGGGTCAGTTCATGTCAAATATATACTGCTCAGGCAAGGTGTCAGGATAAACCAATTGCCAAGATTTGTTGCAATCAAACACAGTTGAAGGACATGACAGATGATACAAATTGCATGTCTGTGGTACAGGATGAACACAATACCTTCAGAAAAAGCAGAAAATGGTCCTTCTTTCTGCTTAGGGGGATCTTTTAGTAGAGCTTGCCCTCTAGTGGTGGACTCTAACACCTTCAGGTTGTCATGCCTAGTAAACATCAGAAACCCCAACTCCTGTCTCCTTTAAAAAGAAAGTCAATTTTATTATTATGTAGGCTGATATAATTTTGTCTCTGGTAATTTGAGCAATGTGGTTACCTTGTATTTTAATGCTGCAATCCACAATATGTATTTAAATTGTTCAAGAAATAACAGTATGTTTTTTAATCCAAGTGTTAGATTGTATGGTGTGAATATCGTTGGATTTCCATTTTTCTCCAATTGTCTGTCCAGTAAAATAGAGCTGTTACGGTTATGTATTTAAGAGTTATGGTTACAATGATCCTTATAAGTTCACACAAGTAGAATGTGTTTCCCCCTCATGCCTGACTGATACCTCCTTGTTTAGAAGAGCACTCACCAGCAGAGGAAGATTCACCTCATTTTCTCAACACCAGGGGAAGGATGTCAAACGGTTCTCCAAGACTTCTGTCTTCACTGGAATACCTCAGTCCATCTGCAGCTACTTAAGATCCACGACAAACAAAACAATCCACTAGAATTTCACTACAAAATCCGGACCATTGCGGGAAACATGACTCAAGCACTACGGAAGTTCGCATACAGATGTTAAATGTGGTAATTTCAGGGAGGTAATGAAAAACTGAGGTTAAAGTGGGTGGATAAAATATTTTTTATAATGATTCCATGTTAATGTGTGTCATGTCAACCATCTGCTTTTTGGGCCTCTGCAAATCCATTTTGCTGGGCACCTCAAATATTTGCACCAGTCTTTGCAAGAATGATTTTATGTCATCCTGTCTTCAATGTCTTTTAACTTGTGGTTGCCTGAATTGAACAGAAAACCTTGCAAATACATAAGTCTACATGCCTGCTTTCTCTTTCTTTACTAATGAAAGTTTCAGCTTTGGGGACAAAAAACATTATCTGCTTGCGTTTTAATTCAATTCAATTCAATTCAAAACCTTTATTTATCCAGGTGAAATCCCATTGAGATCATTGATCTCTTTTTCAAGGGAGACCTGCAGCAGTAGGTTCCACATGAAGACATAAAAACATAAACAACAGAACAACAAAAGGACATCATACAGCAACAATTACAGGGATTACAATTTACATATCTATCCACATGTACAGGTACCAACAGCATCTTAACATATTAACATATTGCAATGTCTATGCAGATGAAAGTTAGTGTGCTTAACCACCACAATAAATAGGATTGAAATCCTCTTTGTAAAGTGGCAATGATAAAACATGCTACAAGCTAAATTAAAAGAAGCAGTGCTTCATTCAAATGTTTTGGTAAACTATGATTGTTAGGAGCAAATAACCTAAAATCAATCAGCTACTCATTAGGTAACTTGGATTGTGTTTAGTAGTTGCAGAAATACTGTATAAACTACTGCAACATGTGTACTGTACTTTTGTCGCCTTTTAAATTCAAACACACTTTGGATCGCCTGGAGGATTAAAGCTGCTAAATAAAAATGGCATTAGCAAATAGCCAAGAAGTAGAAAATAAAGGAGTCAAACAAACATAGAAATACTCACGATAAGAACTGATATTACAAAACAGTTCGGTAATACGGGTTTGTTAAACCTGCATTTGCCAACTCCGAATGAGTTTAGCTGTAGGCAAGGATTGGGTTTTCTGCATGTTAATGCTAGAAGCCTAGTGCCCAAATTAGATGTTTTCAAGACCTGGTTTTTAGTTGCTAAGCCTGATATTGTTGTAGTTTCTGAAACCTGGTTAAAACCGTCTGTCATGACACTGTTATTCACATTGATGGATATCATGTATTCAGAGCGGATCGTAAGGGCAGAGCTGGTGGTGTTGCAATATACACTGCTGAGGAACTACAGTGCTCTGTCCTTCACTCAATTTCAATTCCAAGGCAATTTGAGTTGCTAGCAGTCCAAATAACTATAGCAAATGCTCCTCTCACTGTTATTGGCTGTTTTAGGCCTCCATCTGCCATCATGGATGCAACTACTAGCCTTACTGAATTGTTGTCTATGTTTTCTTCTGAAATCATATTATTGGGTGATTTAAATTGGGACTGGTTGAGTGATAAATCTTCACAGTTTAAGCAGGTTTGTGATTCTTTGAACTTAACTCAGCTTATTGATAGTCCCACTAGAATAAACCCTGCCAAACCCAAAAACGATACCCTTATAGATGTCATTCTAACAAATGCAGCTCATAAGTATGTGTCTGTTGGTGTTTTTCCTAATGATATCAGTGACCATTGCACTATTGCTTGCGTAAGTTGCCCAAAGCCAAGGGCCTTATTGTGCTCAGGCGCTGCTTCAAACACTTCTCTGAGCAGGCTTTCCTACACGATCTGGCGGAGGTTAAATGGCACTTCATAGCGTTAATTCCATCTGTCGATGTTGCCGTCCAATTTTTTATTGATCACTTTTTATCGATTATTAATAGACATGCCCCCCTTAGAAAATTCAGAGTTAAGAATAGGAACACTCCATGGTTTACTAGAGAACTATCTGATCTCATTCATGATCGAAATAAGCAATGGTCCTTAGCTAGAAAGTCTAACACTAGTGATGACTGGCTTCTTTTTCGTGTCCTCAGAAATAAATGTTCAGCCCTTATTAAAAAAGCTAAAGCTGATTACTATCTGAGCTTAACCACTGATTGTTTTAATGACCATTCCAAATTCTGGAAAACAATTAAATCACTTCAGAACAAGAAGGTTTCTAGTTTCCCACAAAAACTGAAGGTCAGTGATTCTTTTATTTCAGATTCAGATGGTATGTCTAATGCTTTCAATGCTCACTTCAAAAAGGCTGGTCACATTTTTGATGAGCAAAGTCATGACTCTCTAAAATCTAAATGGTCGTACTCACAGCCCTAGTCAAGAGATGAACTCCCCTGTTTTTGATTTAGCTTATTTCTCGGTCTCTGAAGTCTTACAGGGTTTGCACTCAATTGATCCTAAAAAGTCTGCCGGGCCTGACGGCCTCGACCCGTTCTTTTTTTAAATTGCAGCTCAGATTATAGCACAGCCAGTAACTGATATTTTGAATCTCTCCCTGTCCACTCACACACTGCCAGCTGTGTGGAAGCAAGCTCTGGTATCGCCCCTCTTGAAAGCTGGTGATCCCACTGAGTTGAATAACTATTGTCCTATCTCAAATCTTTCTGTGCTATCAAAGATTCTTGAGTCCCTAGTTTCTACTCAGCTAAAACTTTTTTTAAATTCACACAACATCCTTAACCCTATGCAATCTGGATTCAGATCAAAGCACAGTACTGTGACTGCCAGTCTGAAAGTCTTAGACGATATTAAGGCTGCTTTGGATAAAAAAACAGTTTGTGTTGCATTGTTTATTGACCTAGCCAAAGCATTTGACACTGTAGATCACCACATTATGTCTAATGTTATGTTGGTGTCTCGTTTCGGTCATAATGCCATTTGCTGGTTTCAGAGTTATCTAACCGACCGTACTCAATGCGTCAGGTTGGGTAGTACTGTCTCTGACCCTGTAACCTTGGAGAAGGGAGTTCCACAGGGCTCTATTTTGGGGCCCTTGCTCTTTTTATTAGATGTAAACAATATTTGTAATCAGATGCAATTTTCTACCTATGCTCCTTCTCTGGATATGGCCGTTTCCAATTTAAAATCAGATTTTATCACGCTGCAGCATGCACTTCTTGATTCCAAACTGCTATTGAACAGTAAGAAAACCAAAGCAATGCTTTTTGCTCCCAAGTCAGCGTCCTCTTGCCTCTCCATTGACACCCTTTATGGCGTCTCTGTTGAGTTTGTCGATACCTACAAATATCTGGGCTTTTGGTTGGACAGTAATCTGAACTTTAAACACCATATTGAAGTTCTAACAAAGAAATTGAAATGCACTCATGGCTTCCTTTTCGGACTTAAATGTTGTTTTTCAACTTCATCCCGTAAAAGGTTGGTCTCTAGCTTATTCCTGTCCCAGCTGGACTACGGTGATACCATTTATAGATTTGCCTGTCCCACTGTTTTGACCAAACTTGACCCACTCTACCATGCTGCATTGCGTTATATATCAAATGCACCCTATAGGACTCATCATTGCAAACTGTATAGCCTAACTGGATGGTCCTCACTTACTATGCGTAGGATGCAGCATTGGATTTTATTAATGTATAAAGCCATTTTAGGTAAGCTTCCACTGTACATATGTGCCAGATTTGCTCCAGTTTGTGACTCTTACAACCTCATATCCAGTGCCTGGATACGGTTCCAGGTACCTGCCGTGCGGACTGAGGCTGGAAAAAGGAGTCTTTTTTATTATGGTCCTTGGTCTTGGAATGACCTTCAATCAAGCCTAAAACTGAGGGCACTTGTCTCAATAGCATGTTTTAAATTGAAGTTGTCTGAAGTCCTTACTACCAGCTGCTCTTGCAGTAATAAGTAGTGTACCTTTCTTACTGTCCTAATGTGCACAATGTAGTGACTGCTTTTCGTCTTTTGTTTTCTTAGTTGTGTTCTCTGTATTTTATATGTTTGTGTTATGTGTTATGTGTAACGTTGCTGCCTTCTTGGCCAGGTCAGCATTGAAAATTAGATTTTATCTCAATGCTTTTTTATCTGGTTAAATAAAGGTTAAATAAATAAGAAAATATGGTTACCTACGTCAACCACCCCCCCCCCCCCCTTCAAGAAAGCATCTGCGGTCTCCGAAGCCTGATAAGGATGTGTGTGTACAAAACGCAACAAACTCTAACTGATATGTGTTGGGTCCAGGCTCAAGGGCGTATGGCACTCTCCAGGACATGCCGGGGCCCTGCCTGCCAGTAGCTTTGCCGATATCTGTGTTGATAGGTAATGGATTAAGAGCAGTGAATCAGCTTAGAAACAGGAAGTGCTCAAACGTTTGTGTGAGTTTATCAAATTTAGCAGTGATTCCATGTCAGCCACAGCTGTCACAACAAATCTTACTGATCATGGGTGTTTCTCAATCGCGAGTAAAGCTGCTTCAGAGCCACTATTTCAAGCATACTACGTCATCGAGTGCCGCCGAAGTACTGTTCCAATCTCCAGCATACTTGGAAATCTACCGAGCCCGGCGTACTCCGTTTGGAGAAATATCGAGGCTGCACATGAGTAGACTCCGCGGTCTTAAAATCCCCACAATGCTTTGCGCACGGACCAATTTCCCCAAATCTGTGGCTGAAGATGTAAGGCGGGGCCTCTCATATGACGCACACCTGCACACTTGCTAGCGTGTTCCACTCTTCGTTTTCCGAATGCCAGGAAGTATTCTTGACTCGCTTCTGAAGCAAGATGCTCGGCAGACATGTGCTACCAAGCAAGCGTACTCGCGATTGAGAAACACCCAGTGTATTTAACAAACTTAAACTAGCTTTATTAAATGTCAGGTCTTTGGCAGGAAAAACATTTTTAATCAATGATTTTATCACTGAGCACAATCTCGATTTTATGTTTTTAACGGAAACTTGGCTTGAACAAAATAACAGTGTAGCTGTTCTTATCGAATCAACCCCTCCCAACTTTAGTTTTATGTGTCAGGAAAGAATGCATAAGAAAGGGGGTGGAGTTGCTATTTTGTTCACTGATTCCATTTAATGCAGGAAGACATCTTATGGGAACTTTGCTTCTTTTGAATATGTGGCCCTTCAGCTGAAATGCTCCTCTCGAGCTCTGTTCCTAAATATCTATAGACCACCCAAATACTGTGCAAGCTTTTTTGATGACTTTACTGAACTGCTGTCTATAGTGTGTATTGACTTTGACCGTCTAGTCATTGTTGGTGATTTTAACATCCATGTTGACAACCCCCAGGACAGAGGGGCTAAAGAACTGTTTTGTGTTCTTGATAACTATGGACTGACTCAGCATGTGACGGAGCCCACGCACAATAAGGTGCACAGTCTGGACTTAATTATCTCAAAGGGTCTAAATATCTCTAAGGTTGAGGTGACTGATGTTGCACTCTCTGATCATTCCTGTGTTTTCTTTGAGAGCTCTATTTCTGTTCACAAAAATGTTCAAAAAGAGGTAACCACAAAGTGATATTTAACTGAAAATACTAGGGAAATGTTTACTCAGAATCTTTCTTCCACACTTGCCCCTGCTAACATCTCAGTAAATGAGCTAGTAGATCATTTTAATAAAAAAATTAAAAATGTTATAGATGCCATTGCTCCAACTAAGGTAAAGGAAGTGATTGGCAAGAAAATATCTCTATGGAGAAAGGCCATGACCGTGAAAACAGAAAAAAGAGAGTGTCGAAAAGCTGAACGCAGGTGGCGAAAAACAAATCTCCAGGTTTATTTTTAAATCTATAAAGAGAGACTTGGCCTTTATAATTTGGAATTGAAAATTGCACGACAGTCTTTCTTCTCTGACATCATTACCAAAAACAAAAACAACGCACGTGCCTTGTTTGCTACCGTCGACAGACTAACAAACCCCCCAGTGTCAGTAGCCTCTGAATTTCTATCCACCAGGGCCTGCAATGCCTCCTTCTTCACTGACAAAATTCAGAAAATCCGACAAGCAGTCAGTGCCTCTGTATCAGGTACAGCAAATGTTTTGTCCCTGTGTTCACCTCAAATCAATTCAAACACCATGACACAATTCCATCAGATTAATGATAAAAACCTAGAGGACATTATTCAACTTCTGAAATCCTCCTCCTGCTGCCTTGATATTATTCCAACAGGATTTTTTAAAAGATGTTTTTCATTGCATGGCCTCAGATCTACTTCACATAGTAAACAAGTCTCTTTACTCAGGTGTTTTTCCACAGGCCCTAAAAACGGCAGTCATTAAACCGCTCTTAAAAAAGAATAATCTAGATGCTTCAGTAATGAACAATTACAGGCCCATATCAAACCTGCCATTTCTAGGGAAAATCATTGAAAAAGTAGTTTTTCAACAGTTGAGTAATTTCTTGCATTTAAATAACTGTTTCGATGTGTTCCAGTCAGGCTTTCGTCCAAACCACAGCACTGAGACTGCTCTTGTAAAGGTCTTCAATGACATCCACTTAAACACAGACAGTGGCAGAACTTCAGTGTTAGTATTATTAGATCTCAGTGCTGCGTTTGACACTGTTCACCACAACATATTACTAGACCGACTAGAAAACTGGGTGGGACTTTCGGAAACAGTTCTAAATTGGTTTGAATCCTATAAAGGACAGAAAAAACTTTGTTTCTATAGGTAAATACACATCTGAGTTGACAAATATGACATGTGGGGTACCTCAAGGCTCCATCTTGGGGCCTCTTCTCTTTAACATCTACATGCTACCACTGGCTCAGATAATGAAAAACAACAAAATAAGTTACCATAGCTATGCGGATGACACACAAATTGACATAACAATTTCACCAGGAGGAGACTATGCTCCAATTCAAACACTGAGTAAGTGCATTGAACAAAAAGATAAAACTGAGGTAATGGTTTTTGGAGCCAAGGCAGAACGTATAAAAGTTAGCGCTGAGCTTCAGTCTGCAATGTTCAAAACAACAGATAGTAGGGGCTTGGACTGGGAGCTGTAGGGTCGCCGGTTCAAGTCCCCGACCAGACCTAAAATATGGAGTGTGGACTGCTACGGAGAGGTCCCAGTTCACCTCCTGCCCTGCCGTGGTGCCCTTGAGCAAGGCACCGGACACCCCCCTTCCCCCCTCACTCCCATTGCTCCCCGGGCGCTGTACAATAGCTGCCCACTGCTCCTAGTACTAGACTCCTGGTGCTAGGATGGGTTAAATGCAGAGGCCAAATTTCACTGTGTGTGCTGTGTGCTCTGCATGTGTGACCATTAAAAGAGGGTTTCATCCCTCCCAATTCTATCTATGCTTTTATCTTCAGTAGACTCGACCACTGTAACGGTGTCTTCACAGGTCTCACTAAAAAATCTATTAGAAAGCTGCAGCTAATTCAGAACGCCGCTGCTCGAGTCCTCACTAACACTAAGAAAGTGGATCACATCACTCCTGTTCTGAAGTCTTTACACTGGCTTCCTGTGTGTCAAATAATTGATTTCAAAATACTGCTGCTGGTTTATAAAGCTTTGAATGGTTTAGGCCCAAAATACATTTCTGACTTACTGCTAAATTATGAACTATCCAGAACTCTCAGGTCTTCAGGGACTGGTCAGCTTTCTGTCCCCAGAGTCAGAACTAAACACGGAGAAGCAGCATTCAGTTATTATGCTCCAAATATCTGGAACAAACTCCCAGAAACCTGCAGGTCCGCTGCAACTCTGACTACTTTTAAATCCAGGCTGAAGACTTTTCTTTTTGCCGCTGCTTTTAATTGAACTATTCACATCTTAAACTGCACTGTAACTTTTATCCATGTATTTTTTCTTTTAATGTTTATTTTATTATCTTTGCTTTTTAATGACTGATTTTAAATGCCATTTTCTTAATGTCTTTCATTTTTTGTAAAGCACTTTGAATTGCCTTGTGTTGAAAGGTGCTATATAAATAAACTTGCCTTGCCTTGCCTTGCCTTGCTCAACTTTTTGGGCCTCGTGTGACGCTTTCAGGTTCGCGTTTGATTCAAATTGACCTTTCTGAGCCACCGTAGCAATGATAAACAGTGACAAGCAGCTGTTCCATCAGTGTTGTGTTACTGAACTCACGTGTAGGACCTAACTGCGTGTAGTGTAGAGTATAACGAGTGTTAAACCAGAGACGAATTTGTTTCGCAAACAACACAATGGAGCCTGCTATACAAATAAATCCGGGTAAGTGGAATATTCGTGAAGTATTTTTGGTGGTTAAAAAAATGTATGTCGATGCACGATAATGTATAGCATTTGGAAATGTTTGGCTAATGCTGCTCCGTCGTACTTCATTCACTTTGGTTGTTCCGATGGTGAATAAACTAATGTGTATCGACAATAACACAATTGAGCATGTTGTAGGAGTAAATACCGTAGGTTAACTATTCGGGATGTTTGGTTTGTAGCTATTTTTGAATGTGAGCGCATGCTAATGTGTAGCAGTTAGGCTAATGTTAGCATTTCTTCACATTGAGTCTGTTACTGAAGCCTGCGCTTGTTTCTCTCCAGGGGCGACGAAATGGGACATTCGTCAGAAAGTTTGGGACTACATCGAAGAAAATAATCTGGCCAACTTCCCCAGGCCTGTTCACAACAGAATACCGAATTTCAAGGCGGGTTAAAACTATTTAACTGAGAGAGCATGCTGGACCACACGGTGTGCCTCTGTAACGTTATACTAGTTATACTCCAAATGGAGACTCTGTTAACTCACATATTCAGTGGCTTTAATATCGACACGGTTGCGAAGGCTGGTATCTGTTTATTCATTCAATCACATTTATCCAGGGTGCTCTACGCACTTTGACTTGTTCACTGTCTTTTGCATGGGGGCCACGTGTACACAGGACGCTGGATGTAATGACACCATACGTTACAATAAAACCGATGTTTAACACGGAGCTAATTATAACAACACGCATTAGAAAACCTTTTAAAGTAGTAATATGTTGTGGAATTGCTCAATAAAGCCTGCGATATAGCACACATACATTAATCATTAAAGCAAATGTTATCTCGGAGTACAAAAACATTTTCATAAAGATGTAACATGTAATGTAACTTTTTGTTCCTTATATTGTTGAAAATGATAGTTGTTTAAGGAGTTATATGTCTGTATGGGAAAACAAATTGTTACAATATTATCCCTAGAAGGAGGTTTTCACAGCAGTCTCTTTACTGTTTATGCCTAGGGTGCAATTCAAGCATGCAACAGGCTTACTGACCTGCAGGAATTCAAGTCCAGCAAGACAGTCAAAGTTAACCCAGACAGGCCCCAGCAGCAGGCTCGCTTTCTCACTCTGGAAGTAAGTTAACTCGCTACTTTCTTCTCATACAGGGTGCTTTCACAGCCTGTGCCAAAGTGTCTGAGCTGCCGGTGTTCACCGGGGCCGCCGAGGTGAAGGTGGATCCCGATAAACCCCTGGAGGGGGCTCGGCTGGCAGTGCTTCAGGTAGCACTGCAATGAGGAAAAACATACCAAGAACAAAATGTCAATTTGCCCCACACGTGTTAGAAATTCTCTACTTGACTCAATAACTTATTAAATATCACTTGTTGAGGTGTAACCAATTATTTCTTATCTGCTAAATGTTACATTTCATAGTCATTATTATCACCATAAATCACTGAACCTCTTTCAATCTATTAATTATCTGCTAATTATATTAACTGATAGTAAATATCTGGTGGCTAACATTTGGGATAATCTTTCACAGGCTGGGAAGACTTTATTGGTCCCAACTCCTCGTCTTCGTACGGGCCTTTTCAACAACATCACTCCTCCCGAGGGGGCCAGCAAAGAACAGCTGCGCATCTGCTCTTCTTCCCAGGTTTCAAATCGCTGATTTTACACATTTCCATCAAATGTTCACCCAAAATGCCATTATGACTTAAAACCCCCCAATATTCCTCAATTCATATTTTATTCTCTCTTGCTTTTTTCCATACCTCTTCCTGTAGGGGGTGAAAGACTTCAGTGTGCCTGTTGGCCTGGATTCAAAGGTGAAGGTAGACCTGGTGGTGGTCGGATCTGTGGCGGTGTCCGAGAAAGGTGACCAGTTATAGTGATAACAAATTGATATGAACATATGCCTAAAATGTACCTATTTCATTTTTCAGTGTTGAGCCTTAAACCAGTTTCACCATATGGATATTTAAGTATTTTTTAACAACAACAATCGAGATTAAAACGCACTCACCCACAAATAAAAAGTAGTTAAAGCCACATGTGTGGCCTCTGTTTTTGCTGGTTAAGAGACATTTTAAAATATCTATTTAAGTTTAAATGAACAGTTAATTCCTAAAACATTAGTACCTGTTTTTCTATACCTGTAGTGCCGATAATCAATCTATATTGCTCTGTTGAGAGTTGCAGTTTTGGAGAGGTCAGCCTCCTCAAATATAATTGAACTAGATGAATGGACTCCGCTTGTGATGCTTAAAGCTCCAAAAATACATTCAATACATTCTTTTCAGATGTGCTAAGGTAGAAAAAAATAGGTTTACACAAAGTTGCTCACAGCAAGGTCTGTAGATTATCTTGAATAGCTGGGTTTTTATTAAAAAAAAGGACTAAATAATATTAAATATTTCCATTGCTTGTGATTCTCGCCCTCTGAGGAAAGGGAGTTGTGGAAAACAAAATCACATACAATGCCGTTCGGTCCTCATTTTCAAAGTTCAGAGAATGTGTTGCTGTAAAACAGATGTTTAACATAATGAACACACTTCAAAATGGCTGTATTTAATGCCACTTTGTTCTCATTAACAGGTTGTTGCATCCGTGTTCCCCTCTTCAGTTTTCTTTGTACTGTTTCTGTTCTGATTTTATGTGAAGCGTATTTGAGTATTAGGAAAAGCGCTATAAAAATCCAATGTATTATGTCAAATGAATTAATCGGAAACTTTATTACAGCTAGAGGATCTTTACTTTTTTTTGTTACACTTTGTAGATCTTTGATGTCCTCACAAAACAATGCTGCACTAACAGTGAATGTAGACTTATTTTGTATCGCATTGGCAAAACCTCCCATTGAAAAGGTACTTATGTCTCTATGGCTCTTCTGCAGGCTTGCGCATTGGGAAAGGCGAGGGCTTTGCTGACTTGGAGTACGGCATGATGGTGTCAATGGGAGCAGTCAATGAGTCGACTGTGGTGGTGACCATCGTCCATGACTGCCAGGTTAGTCTTTCTTTTTCATCAGAGCTCATAACTCTGAACATGGAATTTAAATATTTATCTTCTCTATTACAGTTGAAACTATTATTCCATTAAAGCTATCTTTTACTTTAACTAACTTTATCAAATGAAAACCTGATTAACGCTTTAGCAATAAAATGGATTACAATTTCTCATTTGGTGAGACATGTTTTTACTTTTATCATTGTCTATTGTGCATCAGTTTGTGTTTTTAGTGGGTAAAATGTCATAAATAATATCATATGCGCAACCCTACTCATATTTTAGTACATTTAGAAGTTCATACTTGCAAATATCATTCAAACAAATTCCTCCCTTTTCTGTTAATAAATAAGGTTCTTTTTACATTGGACTGTTAATCAAACACTTGATTACTGACCTGTTTTGTTTCTTATTGGTATATTTATGCTTTCAGGTGATGGACCTTCCTGAGGAGTTAATTGAAAGTCATGACCTGACTGTGGACTACATCCTCACACCCACCAGAGTTATTGAAACAAAGTGCCAGACCCCCAAACCACAGGGAATCATTTGGACTAAGGTAAGTTAAAAGGATTGTTTTGTTTTTGCTTTGTTCTACTGTATTCCAGTATACATGCATAGAGAGGCGAAGTCCCTCCCCTTCCGGGGACCTCCATGGGACCTTATTTCGGAAAAAGTATGTATTGAAGTCAATGGAGCGAGACAACTTGTCTTTCGATCCACGAATTACACATATGATGTTTGTCAATCTTAAAAAATAATTTCCATGTCAATAAAGTCAGTTTGTCGCGTTGAAATATAAGACGCAAAAAAAAAAAAAAATACGCAACGAGAAAGACTACAAATCCCAGAATCCCGGTCCCGCATGCTGGCTCTTACGGAACCGACTAACTCCCCTTGTGTGTACAGCTCTCAACATGCCCAGACTTGTAGTGATTTTCACCTCGTTTAATACTTTTCGCCTCATTCTGAAAGAAAGAAGTGAAATGTGCCATCGTGACGGCCGTCTTGGTGCGAGACGGGAGATGTAGGTCATTGAGCGGTTTCACACAAAAAAAAAGTGTTACTTCAGTTTTACAACACATTTAAAAAATGTTGACTTGCAAAATTATGTTTTAAATTGACAAACATCATATGTGTAATTTGTGGCACAATTCAAACGGGATCGAAAGATAATCTTTCTCTCGCCATTGACTTCAATACATAATTTTTCCGAAATAAGGTCCCATGGAGGTCCACCGGAAAGGGAGGGACTTCGCCTCTATAGAAATCAGACTTGAATTTCGGGTGTATTTTATTTTAAAGTCAGTTTAAAAATAGGACATCAAGATGAAGGAAATAAACCATGACTAAAAAAGCCTCCTTGCAGATCTTTATGTTTTTCAAATGAAGCAGATAGAAGTTGATTGTACAGAGATTCTCTGTCGTAACTACCTTACTTAATATTGAGCTACACTGCCCTCTCATGGACATGTAATGAAATCCCACATCATCAGTGTTTGCCATATTCATTCTCCTTCAATTGACCCTTTTTAATCAGTATTTGTAAGAAAACAATTTATATAAACATACTTTTAAGAAAAATTAAAAAGCAAAATACTTAAAACATGAGAAAACAGCCAATAAGAAATTAACTGTATATGTTTAAATGTTAGTCCAAACTGCTTCTGATTCACTGACCTTGATGGAGATGTTCCACCTGATCATTTGTCTTTTATTAGACATTATTGGGCCATTATTCCTGCCATGAGTGTGTGCAATACCTCTGGGCTCCTTAAGACATGCATGTTATGGCGCATTTCCACTACACGGCCTCGCTCGGTATGGCTAGGCCTCGTTAGGACTGGCTCACTTTATGGCGCATTTCCATTACAGTTTAGGAACTGGGGTAGTATCTATAGTAACGCAGTGTAGGCGGAGCCGTGACATCATCTTCAATGAGAACCCCAGAAAAACAACACAGCCGTTAGCTGTTAGCACTCAGAGCTCATAGCTCCTCATATATGTTCAGAAACTAGACAAAAGTTAAACAAGTACAAACCACAGACTGCCTGTGTCATGGCGAATACAGTCGCTGCTTTATTTATGTCTGTATAGGCCGTTGTTGTGAGTGTGGACGGTCGGAGCATATACTGCGTTAGCTTAGCCAATCTCCATTTAGAAAACACGCATTTTAAAAGGTTTTTCGCCTGCAGACTTGTCAAAGCATTAATTCATGGTTTTTACTAACCGGTATCCGTATGTTGTTACTTCGGCATCATTTTGAAACGTGTATTACAATTAAATCACGGTCAAATACGTCCATCTTGTTGTAGTTGTAGCCCCCTTGCCAGCGATTCTCTCTCTAGTTTAGCATACTCAGCCTCGTTGTCTCTGGCCCTAGACCCACGATTTTATGAGGCCAGAAAAACTGTGAATTAGGACCCGCCGGCCGGTACTAGGCCAAGTGGAAACGCAACCAAAAACGGGCCGCTGACGTCACAGCCCTCTAATGGCGCGTTTCCACTACACGGCCTCGCTCGGCCCCGCTCTGTATGGCTGGGCCTCGTTAGGACTGGCTCACTTTATGGCGCATTTCCATTACAGTTTAGGAACTGGGGTAGTATCTATAGTAACGCAGTGTAGGCGGAGCCGTGACGTGATCTTCAGAGAACCCCAGAAAAACAACACAGCCGTTAGCTGTTAGCACTCAGAGCTCACAGCTCCTCATATATGTTCAGAAACTAGACAAAAGTTAAACAAGTACAAACCACAGACTGCCTGTGTCATGGTGAATACAGTCGCTGCTTTATTTATGTCTGTATAGGCCGTTGTTGTGAGTGTGGACGGTCGGAGCATATACTGCGTTAGTTTAGCCAATCTCCATTTAGAACACACGCATTTTAAAAGGTTTTTTCGTCTGTCTGCAGACTTGACAAAGCATTAATTCATGGTTTTTACTAACCGGTATCAGTATGTTGTTACTTCGGCATCATTTTGAAACGTGTATTACAATTTAAATCACGGTCAAATATGTCCATCTTGTTGTAGTTGTAGCCCCCTTGCCAGCGATGCTCTCTCTAGTTTAGCATACTCAGCCCGACTCAGCCTCGTTGTCTCTGGCCCTAGAACCACGATTTTATGAGGCCAGAAAAACTGTGAATTAGGACCCACCGGCCGGTACTAGGCCAAGTGGAAACGCAACCAAAGACGGGCCGCTGACGTCACAGCCCTCTTAAACCGTGCTCCGCGCTGTAGTGGAAACGCGCCATTAAACCGTGCTCTGCGCTGTAGTGGAAACGCGCCATAAGTAAACAGGACCCAGTGACCTCACTGGCAGGAAGGCCATGTCTGATCATCAAAGGCTCCTCTGCCCAGCCAGCTTGGCTCTGCAGCGGCAGGGGAACGTCAGGTCAAACAGGCCAGTGCAAAAACAATAGCCCCGTATATCCTTTACAGGACGGCTCCCTATCAAAGGCTGCCAAGACACTTACAGGCCCAACAAATCAAGAGGGTAGTCTTTATTTTTAACTGCTTGGGAAGTGAACTGTCCTGTTGCTATGTATGGGCTCTGAGCAGGATGGAATAATACCAATTACCTTATCAGATTTTGGATTATTCATTTGACTTTTCCGTAGGTATGGGCTCAGAGGTCTATTTGTTTGGTGTGTGTGTGTTTGACACCCTTTCCCTTCAACCCTACTGAGACTGTTTTGTGTCTCCAGTTGGACCCAGAAAAGCTGGAGAAGATCCCCGTCCTGAAGAAGCTGCGTGAGCTGGAGGAAGAGGGTGGAAAGGACGTAACTCTGGGCGTGGCACCCGAGGGAACAGAGCCTGGTCTGCACACAGGTCAAACCAAAAGGCCACCCAGACGGAGGCCAAGGAGAAACATACAGCAGGACGATGAGGGAGAGTCCAAACAGGAGAAAATAGGGGATTCAGATCAGAAACCGAGACAGCGTCCACCAAGAGTGAGGAAAGAAGGCAGGGGAGATGGTGGGGGAGAAAATGACAGAGAATTCAATAAGAGAGGAAGGGGAGGAAGAAGAGGTGATAACATGAGGGAGAAGGATCAAGAGGAGGGTGCAAGTGAAGTCCCAACTCAGCGTAGGCTCCCTCTGAGTGTGACCACAGTGTACCTGGGGGGAATCCCTGCTGGGCTGCGTGTCAGTGAGCTGAAGACGGCCCTCAGAGAGAGGGAGGCCATCCCACTGAGGCTCACCTGGCAGGGGGCTCAGCACCGGGCCTTCCTGGACTACAGCGACCCTCAGGCTGCAGAGGTGGCCCTGGAGTCTCTGCAGGATCTCAGTCTGAATGGTCACAGTCTCCAGGCCGAGCTGGCCAAGAGCCAGCGGGGAGGCAAGAGGGCTGGACAGTCCAACCGGAGAGAAAGACCACCGACGGCTCCGGAGAATACAACTGATCCCCCAGAGGCTGAGAATGACACCAATGAAAAGGCTGAGCAGGAATAGCAATAAGCAATACTCAGTCAAAGGAGTTTATCGTGAACCAACCTTAAATGCCTTAAGAAGAATCTAGTTTGTTTTATATATTTTTGGATTTACTACAAGAGGAAATCAGTTATTTGGACCATAGACATATAATTTGACCCCTAAGGCTAATGAGCTTAACTAAATATGAATTGAATATGCAATTGTTCAAACGAGAAAGCATTTCCCTAGAAAGGTTTTTTTTTTACATACCATTTCACAATAATTTACCTATGTGCCTTTTTGCACACACACATCCACACACAGACACACCACCTACCTACTGGTCTGTGTACACACAACCTTCATTGCTTTAAGGCGGTTAATTATTTTTTTGACTGAAATTCATTTCTTCAAAACAGTCTTTGTTAAAAATACAAGTATAGAGTTAACTGTTGTAAAGTGTTCAGTAAATTTTATTTCTACAACCAGTTATCAGTGTTACCTCCTCAGAGAGGGTTTTGTTTTCAGACTGATTTGTCTGCTTGACTTTAAAACCTTTTAACTGGTTAGTTTTTGTTGTTAAAGATGGCGCCATAATTTACAAAGTTTATACAATCTGGATGATTCCCGAGCTAGGAAGCGTGACATTTAGAGAATTGTCCTTGGTCTAACGTTTCTATATCCATATAGACCACACAAATGAACTTTTTTTAAACGCTTTGCGAAACTCTTTTCCTTTTTTTTTTTTTTACCTATTCTTAAAATGTCATGCAATGTTCACAGCATCTCTAATATTTGATTGCCCATAATTGCATTATTCTTTTCCTATTCAATTTAAAAAATAAAAATAACAATGTGCTCCATTTGAAATAGACTGCCATACATTTTGAGCAAATGTTGGCGTTAGACAAATTTAGAAGATGTTTAAAAGGCCATATTTTAGTTGTGATATGACATTTGCATAGTTCGTCCTTGCTCATAAGACAGGATTTAGGAATTCTATAAAACCAACATGATTGTAATGTGTATTTGACTACGATCTGGTTGTAGATTAAAAACATCTAAACATTTAGGACTTTGTGTAGTCTCGTTGGAGCTACACCTTTTGATTTCTACTTGCTTACTGTGGTTTTTACTAAGGTTTTTTTCAGGATATTTTGAAAATACACATTGTACATTTAAAAGTTGATATTTGTACCTTTGTTGATTAGGAAGTAGATGTTCAAGGCATTCTGTTTAGTTAGACAAGTTTGAGTATGCAGCCAGCCCCACCATTCAACTTTTAGGAGATTCTACCAGGCCTGGCTGCTGTTTAGTGTTAACTGTTTGTAACACGTTGCTGTATAACATTCTTTACTAAAGCTTTTGACTGTACTGGTTCAGCTTAGTGTCTTTTTTTTTCCCGAAAAAAAATGCAGTGTCTTTCTGTTATCTTCTATTTGGGGTCATTGGCAGAATTTAGGAAATTGCCTGTTTTTGGATATCGACCAGCGAACCTTGATAAAACCGCACTCCACCTCAACCCCTAAAACTCTTGCAAATAACACTTTTCACCAAAGAGGCATTAATAACGTCACAATTTAAACTTAGACCAGACCACTGAACTTACACAAAAATATATATAGAAAGCATGTTGGTGACTTGGAAATGTTGAACCTTTTGAATATGAATCCAGTCAGTGTTTCTTGATGGGTAAGACAAATCATATAGGGTGATTTATTGTTGCCCTGTTTTTAGATACAAAGTAAAAGATGAATCTGTTCTCAAATACCTGTACTTAGATGCGCACAAGCCACTCATCAAAACCCAATAGCCTGTATCTTGTGCCCTATAAAGACAGACACATTATCTGGTCTCTCACTCCTGTCGGTCTGCAGTGCCAGACCAGTATCCTGTTTTCACTGAAGTCTTGATTGAGGCACACAGCATGTCTGTCTGCACAGCGCAGGCCTCTGGCTTTTTATGGAGCTGTCATCCAGGCCTGGTGAGGGAACAGCTGTCGATCTCTCTTTCTTTCAGCCCCGCCAGAGCACTGGACCTCGGCAAATGTCATCAGTTTGTTAATGCGCTGTTGAGCCTGCCATCCCCGTGCTCTAAGGCATGCTCGTTTTACTGGGGTTCAGTCAGTGGTCATGTTGTGAGATTTCAGAGCTACACAAGTATTAAAACACAAATGTTTGTGTACACATACGCCTAAACGGCATTAAATGAACAAGATCTCTTAAATTACAATCCTGTTATTTGAGCTTACTCAAGACACAACACTCGGTGAACTAGTAGATGCTAAAAAGCTAAATTGCTGCCACCATGCTGGCAACTGTTATTGTTTTTGAAACCTTAAACTACATTTTATAATCAATAAAACTACACTTGCATACCCCAAATATACAGCCATTAAAACTGATTGATATTTGCCTGATTAAGAATTAAAAGAAAAAAAGACATACCCTCAACAGCTCTTACTTATAAGTTATGTAAGACCCACATAACCTTTTTTTGGTTTTATAAGTTGTTAGTTAAAATCCAGTCTTTACACACCCCGAGTTATTCAGAAGGAATAACAAAAAGCAGTTTTTCCGCCTGTAACCAAAGGCGTGTGAGATCTCTGCCTCTTGATTTGTTACGCTTTAATTGCTGCGTACACTCTCCTTACATAGAGGGTGAAGGATTTATTTCTAAAGCCTTTTATTTAAAACCTATTACTAATTAATCATTGTTTTGTGGAAAGTCAGATTTTTTTCCCTTGAAATGTCAATTTTATTTAATCATGCTTGACTTTTTTTCTTAAGTGTAGTATAGGACCACTTTAATGTGGATATTATACCTTCATTTTGGCTTCCCTATCAACAAAGATTTAGTATCTAAAATCCATGTAAAGAGAGTATGCCCCTTTTTCGTTAATAAAGTAATTAATTGAAATTCTAAACATTTATTTAAGAACCCTGTTGAATAATTGTACATAGTGTTATGTCTCAGAAAGAAGCAGAATTGCCTTTAATCTTAAACTGCTGCCAACAATTACATATGTTGTGTGGTATTTGTTTGCAGAGTCCCGAAAACATTAGCATGAATTGTGGGTGAGTAATGAAATCGATTGTTTTGTGTATTTAGGTTTCAACAGCCCAACAGATATATTTTATTTCTTTACAAATGATTTGTTGTAATATAACCTAAAGATTAGCCCTCATTGATGGACCCTTGCTAATTTTCTAACATTATATAAGTATACAGTGCTGAAAGTAATGGTCTACATAGATCTAACACAAACGACATAACAGTGCTTACAATATATCCTCAATTTTCATTTTAAAACAAATAACAAGCGTTCTGACAAATATTGCCAATAAAGAATATACCTCTTTGGCCAATTCGCCTGAAATTAAAATATGTAGGCCGAAAGAATAAATAAAAAGATGCGCATAGGCTATTCAAAAAGTGCCTTCATCCTTAGAATATATGGACATATTTTATGTGATGTCCAAAACTGTTCATTCCAAAATTCAACGCTGGTATGAAAGTCCAAAAAAGGGAAAAAGGAGCCTCAGTCTAATTTGTCAAAGAAAAGGCAAGTTAAAACTTTAGACATAAAAGTGTGTGCATTTTTACATTGACTTACTTCAAGAAGAAAAAGCATTAACAAAATGTGAAGTGGTAGTCATCCGCTCTGCAGGACTAAGTACCAAACAGCAGCAGGGTTTCAATACACCCAGTCTTTACCCCGCTGGACGATGTTGATGGCATGAAAAAGTTTGTCTTTATTATTATATATTATTATTATGTGGTTGATTTGTGATTGGCCTGTCTCCGTGTTTGTCGCTGTGTGAAACAGTACAGAAAAGTAGTCCGGTCTACTCGAAGCAGTGAGTGCTCTCCATGGGCCGGGGCATGCCTTTATGTCTCTCAGTGGTTATTTAACTCATTTGTTCTCTTTTCAGTTCACCGTCCTGGGACACCGTCCTCTGGTCTGCAGGTTGTCCGCCGGGGCCTCACATGACGCAGGGCTTAATGTCCTGGTAGGAGACCTGCTGGTGGTGGTAGTACGAGCTGCTGCTCGGTGAGTGCATCGCGGAGGACGTCATGGCGTTGAACGAGAACACGAACTCCTTTCGGTCACACATGCTTGGAGACTGGGAATGGTACCGAGGAATACCTGTGGAAAAAGCATTTAAAAGATATGGTCACAAATATGTTCAATGATACATGGCAACTTTCCAATAATGTTGTTTGGAACTATAACATAAAACCCATTTAAACATAATAGAATGATTGTATAAATACAAAATGTAGGCTGTAATTGTTAATTGTCAATTAGGTCTGTTTATGATGGAAATGTCATCTTAGAGCAGCCATAACTTTGACTTTAATTTCATTGATCTATTTGTAGCCTAGGCAAATAATATTACACTAATAATAAGAATACAAATAATAATTATAATAATAACTTGAGACAACTTTGTTAAATTAAATATAGTGTCCATCCTATTCCTTACTAACAAGTATGTTGTTTTCAACAGCTGTCCAACCACATGTTATTGTGTGAAAAGAAAGCTCATTATGGAACATTTTCTCAGAGATGACCATTATTATTTTTTATAATAACAACACTTTTGCTTATTTAATGTATAAAGGACAGATAAATAGCTCCACTGGTTTTTACTAAGTCGGATACAAGTGTATAGGCCTATTCCTCACAGACCCAAAGTCCATTTAGCAAGCGCGATTAAGCTTGTGGAAAGCGGAGGCAGGCTTGCAGGCTAATTGACAGTGGCTCTCTTGCACGCCAGTCCCGGAGGACTTGGTGCCTCGGGGCAAGGCAGGCTGCTCTTGGCCGCGCTTGTTTTTCTTGCCCAGAGATTGGCACTGCTCTAAACTGTCCCGGCAGACTATCCCTACCCTCTTTTCTTTATCATTGCGGAAACTGAAACCATGCGAGTTTAAGCCGCCTAATTAGAGCCGGACAGTGGTGAAGAAGATTACATTTTTTTGTGGGAGAAATACGTGGTTTCATAACTGTCCTTAATTGGCTTGATTTTTATTGTATTCATCCCTTTTCAATACAATAGTTGAGATCAGCCCATGTTTAGTGACAAATACAGTGTGAGATTCTACTAAGGAAATGTAAAGCTGTTCAGTATTACCAATAGACCCACGATTATAAAAACCTGTTGAACTTGGTTGAAAATATTGTGTAGACCTCTTGAAATTAAATGTATTGTGGTGTTATTTGTAAATATGAATGAAATTATACTATGATTTTATTTATCTTCACACGTTTTTCTTAATGAAATTTTCCACAGTCTTACACAACATGTTTGAGTTTTTTTAAGTAGATAAATTAGAAGTGAATAAGCTTACCTTGTAAATCTGTAGTATTGTGCCCGTTCTGGTGCAAGTAAGATTGGTCCAATGAATGTGTGGGCAAGCTGGGCTGCAGTGAGTTGGCCCCTGGATTACAAGGAGACAGAGGCTGCTGCTTTATGTAGGAGGCCCCGTTATTCAGAGAGGCCGAGGGGGCTGGAGCCCACGCCGAGGCTGAGCTCGAGTAGACCGGATGAGGCTCCATGACTCCTCCGCTGGTGAGCAGAGGGGAGCCGGAATTGTCGTGGTGTGCATAATCACTCCCGGTGGATCCTGTACAACTTCCCATGTAGGAATGTCCACCGTTGGTTGACAAGTGTGACATGCTGTGCCCGGACAGACCCATCCCTTCCATGTTACCTGCCAAGTGTCCATTCATCATCCCAATCCCGCTGTCCAGGGACAGGCCGTTGGGTGGACAGGAAAGTCCCCCGCCGTTCCCCTGGAAGTTGTAGGACTCGGGGATGTGGTTGAATCCCAGGCCGTTCATCATGCTGTACATGGGCTTCAGCGCCTGGCACTTGCGCCTAAAACCCCTCGGTCTCCTTCTGAAGGACCCTTCCTCAAACATAAACTCACTAGCCGGGTCGATAGTCCAGTAGTGGCCCTTCCCGGGCCTGCCGAGGCCCTTGGGCAGCTTGATGAAGCACTCGTTCAGAGACAAGTTGTGACGCACGGAGTTCTTCCATCCCTGGTATGAGCCCCTGAAAAACGGGAAACGGCTCTGTAGGAACTGGTATATTTCACTGAGCGTCAGTCGCTTGGTTGGAGAGCTCTGGATAGCCATGACTATTAAGGCGATGTATGAATATGGGGGTTTCTCTGGTCTGCGGATCCCAGCGTTTGTCTTTTTGGTTTTCGTAGTGGAGGATGCGGTTTCCATCACTGCCGTCTGTCCGTGCGGCTTCTCCGGGGCAGACATCGGACTGCTCTGAGCAGGAGTCTGCGCGGCGGGCTGCTGGACCTCTGCCGTCATTAGTTAAATGTAGTCTTCGAGATGGCAAACGAAAATAGTTGGTGTCCACCTTTCCAGCTATAAACACTTTAAAGTAAGATGCTAGTTAGCTGGCATAAAGAGTCGAAAAAGTAACCGTAGGCAAACTTAACGAACGAGTCAAAATCGAAACTGTCTTCTAAACTCTGACTTCTTCCTCTTGATGCAGTCCTGCAGCAGCCTGAAGCCTTGTACAACGCGTCCGAAATGGGATGAGGAGCAGAACAGGAGCCGCTTTCCACTTCAGTTGGTGTGTTGTCGTGCGTCCGAAGAGCTCACTTTTTACTTATCTGTTGCCATCAGCGCATTGGAAGCTGGATGTCTTGGCCATCCTGATGTTGGGACCCGCCCAGATCCCTCCTACTCCAGTGGTGGGCTGTAAGTATGCACATCTGTGTGCGTTCACTTTTCAGGGAAATGTTTTTCCCTACCTTACATTAAAATAGGGAATGTTTCTCCGGTATATTCAGTTAAACGTATATGTTATTATACGCTACAGAGTTGAACTAAATTAAAATGGATGATCATATTATGCGACAGCACACTTACTACACGTAAAGGGCATTTAGATACAGATTCTAAATGCCTTGCTTTCTAGTATGACTTTATTTTATTTATATTCCTATTTGTAATGCTGAATAATACAAGTGATGTAAACTGTAGATTCCTGAACGTGCAGTGCAAGCAGTGTCCCTCACTTTCAGGCCACAGGCTTGATGCACCAGCACGGCACTTACCCCGAGTCTAATTTGCAACACAATTAAACTTGTGAAATATTTTAATAAACATTTTAACTGTATTCAACAGTGATAACCAGATAATTTGCCCCTCTTATTCAAACCACCTTATGATTTCTTCAAAAGATAGACAGGAACATGGGCAGGATGTTTATACAGCAAAATGTAAACATTTTCCCTGGCTTCTTTAAATAAAAAATCAAGCAAAAGCCCCGTTAGACCAGTTAATACTCAATCGGATGCAATATGCCCTTCTCTTCGCTGCGTCTTGTGTGATGTTGGACTTTTTTGCATATGAATATTGTTTGTGTAATGCAGTCATAATATTTACGCAGGGACGCAGGAGGAGTAGAGACCAAACTGTGCCGAACTGTGAGCACAGAAAGTCGGACCGGGATCTGAGATCGACTCCTGCTGCAGTTTACCATCGAATGATCTAGGATTCAAGGTAAAGTGGATTTAACACTTTTTACCAGCAGAACTATGGCCGTTTTATTTAAGTGCCAATATTAATGTTTATTATGTTTTATCGGACAGTATATCTGATAGCAAAGTTAGAAAAACGAAGCTTCAATTATATATCAAGCCTGTTGCAATAACTTATATGTATTTCACTCAAGAAGATGGGCACCGATTTGTTGTGTTTTCAAAGTGAAAAAGCTTAGTGGTTCGATGTATTATACCTTTTACAAAGCTGTGAACGAGAGCTAATGAAAGACGATCGGTCCATAACCTAAAAGTGTTGACAGTAGATTGCTTATTGTTCCCTGGAGATCTCGATAACTGCAGCCGGCAAACTTTTGCCTCTACATGGGTCCAGTTAGTCGAACTAGTTGTGCTTCTGATCTCTGCCGGCTTTACTGCTTCTAGAGAATGCCTGTAATGACTGTTGGTTTTGACACAATGAAAATAACACAATGGAAAATAGTGGGTGAACAATTTTATCCTGTGCGTAAAACCAGACAATGTTTGGAGACGTTGTTGCCTGTGCGTAAAGGTCAACAGTAGCTCTTATAGCTTAATATTGTTTCTTATGTTAAACACCAAGGCAACGTGTTTTTTAAATTAAATTACATAGGACATATATTCAAATTCAATTTCGAGGCGTAACTGAAATATAAAAATGTTTTGTTGAGGTTGGCCGCAAATGTCCAGTGTCATTTTTGTTTCAGACGAGAAAACAATCCATTGTCAAATTCTCAGTGTCAACCCAAAGGTGACAGACGTGCCACTGTTAGCTCTCGCAGATTTGAACACATAGATACATGAATGTAAGTATTGTTTTAACCGGTGCCTGTACGGCCACTCGCCTGGAGTGAGGTCCACACATTTATCAGGGTAAAAGACCACCCAGCGCGCACCAGGGGCAGGCGCGCTCCCGTCCTCTCTCTGCCCACTGCATTTAATTACCGCTGATGACTTCATTCCATTAGGGCCCTTTTCCCCTCACACGCTCATTCGCCCCATGTCATGTTATTCTTTCTTTGTTGTAGTCTACATTGGCCTATTTTGTTGTACTTCTCATAATCATCCAACGCCTGTGTCCGTCCTTACATGTTTACGCAAACTATCAGTGTTGGATTGTAATGTACTACTCCCCAGCTGCATTTTCCTCTGGCCAACAAAAATAAAATATATATATTTTAAATAATCTAAGATACAATCGAAGTGAAATGATAAAATGATTTTAAAAAATCAACCTGAAACACCATAACTAATGCACTGTTGTATTTATATTGCATATCAGAATTGAATGATTTCCTTACAAATTAAGATATTTCACAATATGCTGTAACAGGGTCGGTGGAATATTATGTTCGTCATTACTGAGGCTTTAGCCCCGAGGTCACAGCATCCCTGTTGCTCCATCTCAGACAAAGTCATGCACTTTTCCATGACGTCCCATCATGAAATATTTGACAGCGCTGCATCCTCAGGAATGCTCGGCCACTTAGGTGGAGGTACACCGCAGAGTGCACGGTCCTGACAGGCTTTCCGGACTGTCTTACCGTTATTTAGTGCTCAAAACCCAAGCTTGGACCCCTCAAAATCAAGTTATTGCAAAGTTCTGCAAAAATGTTCAAATGAATGAATGGTTTCTTATTGCTTGTATTCTCCCATCCATTAACTATTGTGACATATCAGAAGCTATCTGATATAATTTATGTTTTTTATTGTTGAACCTAAACATATTGCATTGTATTGTCTGCAGAAACAGTTTAATATTTACATTACGTTTAGTTTTGACCTTAAACGTTTCTGAGGATTTGTTTCCTTCCTCATATCAAAATCTTGATATTGCATTCCTTGTTCTCTCAGAAATGATAAGGCTTCACTGTGCTACATCATTTGAACAAGTCACGATACCAATTATACCAATTAGGCAAATAACTCAAGCGGATTATACATCAGCTGCCGTGGTCAGCACTGCAATTCGATTTAACCGTATAGCAAATTGAACTGTTGGTCGGATAAGGTCCGTTACCAAATGACCTGGAGAATGTTATCTATCAAACTTGAAGATGCTATTTTCTTCAAAAACGATCATCTTTGAGGGATAACTCTCTCCTCTGAGGGCCGCCGGGTCATCGAGAGGCCGCAGGGACTTTGTTTGGAGGGCAGTGCGACAAAGTGATCGATCAACTGGCCGTGCACTCATCCGACTTGAACTTGAATAAGGTTTTAAAGCATTACCTAACAGCTTCACATCGGTAAACGTAAATTAACTCCTTTAATTATTTGATTCACTACTTTTTATTGCATGCAATTGATGTGAGGTGTCAAAACTGTTGAATTGATCTTGAGAAAAACAAGTATTCATATATTTTTATAAATGTTAAGTAAAAAACAATTGAATGCATACTTCTATTTGAAATACTATATACAAGTTTAAAGTTGAAATTCATTAGTGGATTTTACAAATGACCAATTGGTCTATATATTAGTCACAGAGCCTGAATGGGCTGGACACTATCCAATTGATTTTTTAATAATAAAATATGATTTCTCACATTTTATTTGATCTATTTTATCATGCAAAATGTGTCAAATGTAAAGAACAAGCATATAAACAATGGTACTGTTATGCATATATATATATATTTATATGGGAAGCTGTTGCGCAGAAATACTCAACATTTTGAGGTGTGCATTTTTTTTAAATAGATGTATTTAACATTTCTTTATATTGAACTGTCAAATAAACACATTATATATTTTTCCATTTTGTTATACATATTATTTGCGAATTCTATCACTACATGATTGATCCTATACAATTACTTTAATTGCAGATTTTAAGTGAATGTAATCCTCCTTTTCAATGTGTCCTAGTTTTTCAAGTCCAAAAAATAATTCAAAGATGTATCCTAATTGCTTTACTTGCTTTTTGTCTCTGCAGTGTCGCCTGCAGTTCACTCAGCATTGTCGTTTTAATTGAAAACAGTGTAATGTCGAGGTGGGTACCCCCTCATCACTTTCTTTGCGCTGTAGGTGGCCGTGTATATTTTCGTTTAAGTGGTGTTTATGTGAACGAGAAAGGACGGGATTGCTTGCAGACCGCTGATTGCGCGCATTGCGTCTCTGCATGGATGTGAAGTGTATTTGATGGGCACCTCCCTCTCCGGTAATCAGCTGCAGCAGAAGTGCGCTCGATTACTTTTTAATTCTCTTGGCGATATATCTCTTCCGTGCCATGCTGTGTGTGATGGCGCGCAGAAAAGTAGTGCCTTGGCACAGCATCCTTTATAGAAAAGGATGACTAAATACATGTTTCTCTTACACAACATTTCATAGAGATGCCCTACTAACTCAAAATAATAGTTCAAACATCCGCCCTGCTGAAGTGTCCTTAAGCATGACAGTTACGATAAGCGTGAACGAAAAATATATAATTATTTCAACCCGTGCGTCGTGTTGCAGGTGTTGCAGTCTGATGGAAATTGTAAGGTGTTTATTAATCTGATGTGAGATACATTACGCGTACCTCTGTAATCTTTTGTCACATTTAATGTGTTTAAAAAACGTTCCACTCGTGATTCAAGGAGAGGTAAATCACCTTTTAGTAATTTTCACATATTAAAACTTGGTTTAACAACGGACTCTATAAGTTGTCGATACAAACTTGCCATATTAATGATTATTATAATTTTTATTTTTTACAACATAACTTTAGTGTTAAATGCCTAATAATAACTGTTTACATTACATATATTTTGTATCTGTATGTGAATGTAGGGTAATAACTAAATAGTTGCCCAAAGTTCCTGTTTTTTGTCATTTGTTGGTAGAGACACACGCCCACCTGTCTCCGATGCACACCTGCAGCAACAACTATAAATTGCACACAAAGCTATAACTGATCATTTAGAGTAGTCGATGATGTCTGGATATCGCAGACCCTTAAGTAACTTTTTTGCACATTGAAACTTACATAATAGAGATTTAATTCATTTGTAGGTTTAAAGTCCAGGTTAAAATCGTAATTTAATCAAATGTAAAACCTCATTAGGTTCTTTCACGACAGAAATAATGAAATGTGAATATGCTGCAAGTTTGAGGCCATAACATTTGTTGGTCATGGAGTTTTCGACACAAAGTTTTTTTTGCAGCAGTTTACGCTATAGGGAGCTCATTATGCCGAAACGCATGAGACGTTTGTAGAAATATTATTGTGAGAACCTCTGCCTCCTCAGTAAAACTTCACATAGCCTTCCCGCAACAGTCCCTGGAGAGCTATATTGGCAAATTAAAGATAGCCCACTCACCTCATAAAGATGGCATTTTATTATTTCAGTAGGCAGTCATTAGTTTGTCCTTTGCCCCAAAGAAGATTAAGTCCTGTTTTCTGACAGCTGTATGTTAAAAAAAAAAAAAAAAGTTTCTTTAAGATAAAAATAATAAAGTATATTTTCTGATCATAACTTGACTTAAAGGACAGCCATGAGGATTTGGCTGGTCCAGAGGTTTTACACATTTCTAAACGTCCAAATGTCGTTAACACTGGAAGGAAAAATGTTCCATAACTTTTAATACCGGTTTGTAGTTTGCTATGTGAAACAGGACAAAACACACAAAGTGTAAAGAAAAAAAGTGAAAACACCAAAATAAGAACATTATTTCATTTATTTTGAGGTTAGTTTTCAAGGTCAAAGCATGAGGAAAAACTGTTTCTGTTCTTCCTCAATTTATACACCTACATTATAAAATAGAGGAGAATTTATATACCATTATTCCTGATTTTCTTTAAACACATTTTACAATGTAATCCAGATTTTGGATTATTGGCAACATTCTAAGATATTTAAAACAACAACAAATTAAACTCTGTCAGGGACATGATGAAAACAATTAAAAACCAAAAAGCTTTGACCAAATATTGAATCCCTTAAATGTTTATCTCTGTCTTAGTTTCTACAGTTTTTGTGAAGAATGAATGAAAGGTAGATAATTCATGTTTTAATTTGAAAGCAAAAGTTTATTCAAATGTATTTCATTTCATTTCAAACCTTTATTTATTCAGGTTGTATCCCATTGAGATCATTGACCTCTTTTTCAAGGGAGACCTGCTCAAGTAGGTTCCACATGAAACATTAAAAACATAAACAGAACAACAAAAGGACATCATACAGTAGCATTACAGGGATTACAAATTACATACTATCCACATGCACAGGTACCAACAGTTTCCGATTCAGTAGCATCCAACCGAGCTTTAATTAGTATTATTGAGAATTTAAACTTAGGTGCTTTTCCATTGCTGAATATTGCATTATAGATTTTTGAAGGGATTACTTTTTAATCTTTCTTAGTTCTCCAGGGCAGTTTCTTTCACAATTCTGTAAGAAAATATAAGTCACATTAATCTGGTTTAAAAATATTGAATGCAGATTTAAAATATTATAAACTTTATAATTTAATATATGTTTGATGTATGTTAAAATGAAGCCATGTATTCCCTGCTCGTCACCTTTAGTTTATAGTTGAACTGATAATTAGTATGACAAAAATATTATTGTCCTATTTGCTATTAGACGCTTATTTGACCGCTGATCTCTGCTCAACTGTTGTGTTTCTGAAGATTCAGTCCCACAGTGGGTTGGCACCCCCCCCCTGCAGCCCTGCACACCTCCCCGGTCCAACAGGGTCTGTCTGATGCAGGGAGAGACATCAATAATAAGAGCTGAAGCAGAAACCACAGTGGAGAACACAGAGAGAGAGGGGGGGCAGACGCAGGCCACAACTGGCTCTGCTGCAGGTCAGCTCCTTTGATACAGCCCTGATGGCAGTTTGATGGGTGCACATGGGGCGACATGGGTTTATACGTACGTGTTTACATGCACGTTTACATAATATCTATGGTGTTTACGCACAGCCCACTCATTCTTTTTTTCTTTACTCTGAAGGGGGATTTTCCTGTGGCAAAGCTGCTTCGGAAAAAGCAATTAAGAATTCCCAAACAGCACACCACAATGGGAGATATCATTTGTGCAATGTGTATTCCATGTCCCTCGCAGTTCTTGTCTGGAATGGCTTGGCTATTTTTAATCTGTGCACAACCGAACCCACCTACAGACAAACCGCAAATTGACAGAAGGGGAGGGGGCTGAGGGGGCTTGGTAATTGCCTATTGTGGAGCTCAAACTCCTCTGTTCTGCCATAAACAGCTCTGGTAGTTCACAACTTGATACCCAGTGATCCAGCGGGTTGGAAATGAGGGCACATCCTCACTGTCTGTGGGAACCCATAGGCAGGCAGTGGTTGGAATCAGTCAGGAATGCTTTGGGATGGTAACTGGATTCGGTCGTAATGCCCAGCTCTCCACAGTGGAACACAAGGGTGGGAAAAAGGCTGCGAGCATTTCCTGAGTGAAGGGGGGTCCCAGTGAAGCATCACACGCATGGGCATCATGTGACAGTGATCCTGCCAGGTTTTATCCTATGATCCCAGAGGACGAGAGGAGAGGAGAGGAGAGGAGAGGAGAGGAGAGGAGAGGAGAGGAGAGGAGAGGAGAGGAGAGGAGAGGAGAGGAGATGTGGGCATTGCCAGGGACAAGGATAGGCTGTAAGACAAGAGAGGCGCAAAGACTGTAGCTGTTATAATGTAAACTGTCAAAGGTTGAAAAACATGGGGGAAGTAAAAATGAGGGGTTTAGTGCAAAGCTGCTGTCTGATTCTGTTCTTTCTCTCACAATATGTATTTATTCCTGAAGTACTTTGGCATGCTGTCTAATTTCCTTTTGTTAATTATCTTCATTTATGCTCTGCACATTTGTATATCTTTAAGTTTAGCTGCTCACAAAATATACAAAACAAAGTTGGTGTTTTATGTGCCCGAATAAGAAACAAAAGACCTGATTATAAACCCCACCTTTGAAACAAGTGCAGACTTTAAGTCTCAATAAATTATATACAACAGTTAATGATCTGGGTGAAAAGAAAGGAAATACAACAGGTGATTTTTACTGCTGGAAAATACAAGTCCTTGTTATTTTGGATCATATTGCATGTTTTTATTTTAATTTTAATTGAATACCAGTGGTTGTGTATATAATTAGGGCAAGCCATGGTGAAAATAAAGTTGGTCTAAAGTAGTGGTATATAAAGAAAGTATTTAGGTCTCTCAGCCAATTTGCATGGGCCTTTCACTTTAGCGTATCTACTGCAGAATTGAGGTCAAAATAACCCTTGTGCATCATCAATCAAGTATCCTGCACAGCACACCTTCTATGATTCAAAACCAATAACAACGTTTATGAGATAAACCCTCATTGAATATCTGAATGTCAACAATATCCCACCTTCCTGTTTTATGTGCTTATCTTTTGATTGACTATACCTCATGATGCTCTGGCCACCTGGATTTTCCCTTTGCACTGTTCAGACAGTAATCACCTGAAAATCTTAACCTGAGTCTGTGTGTGTCGATCTGAGAGGAAAGGGTGTTTGGAAAATGATACTGAAAAATGTAACATGCGGTTTGTATCTGATTAGAACACATATTCTGCTCCTATTCATATTCATTCACATTTGTCTGTAGGGATGTTGAAGTTTAATGTAATATCACATTTCAGCAGAGCAATGGAGCAAACATCATGTATTAAATTACATTACATTGTAGCAGCTGGTTAGTGTGTATTTGTTTTCCTCCACCTTTTTCCTGCATACATATTGCCATGGCTGCCTCATGTGTAGATGCAGATTTAATATTCCAGACTGTCTTTACCTCTGGTTTCTGCTGTCTGTGGCTGCATGAGCTCCTATATCAGTGCATGTGAGAATGTTGCTGACTAGAAATGTGTGTGTCCAGACTGCTGGCGGCCCGACGTTGCTCTCTATGGCTTGTATAAATGTTGTGACGATCTTGGGAGGAATTTTACCCCATAGTTGTCAAAGGGCTTTTTATTTCCACCTGCTAACGGCCTCTTTCCGTTGGTCTGCTCTATAACAATGGTAGTGTGAAAGCTGTGGAGTGCAAGGTGATTGATGTTGGACTGTATTTGGACCTTCTTCAGATTTGGGGCCTTAAAGGAAGGGGTGATTCCTCCCTCCCACCCCGACTACCCCGCCATAACACAGGGCTCAAGAGGGCAAAGTGTTGATCAGGACGTTCCTAGACATCCCATTTGAACAAAGTGCCAATCAGTCCATGAAAACAAGTTGGCAGCCACATGTAAACAAGGTTTTATGACATATCAATCAATTTGCCACTAAAAGAAACAGAATGAAGTTAATTTATGCCACAGTTGCAATTAAACCCAATTGCATCCCCTCCATGTTGTCTCAAACCATCACTATTTTTCTTGTCGTGTCTGGGTTCAAACAGACACAGGCTCATCACGACTGCATTCTTTCCATTTTGCTGGAGAGCAGCGTGGCAGAGGAGGTAATCTATCACCCAAATTGTCTGTCCTTCTCCCTGCCTATTTCTAACTGTGTTTCTCTTTCTCCTTCCCCCAGTCTGGAGTGGGCAGGCATGCGGCTTTGGCCACAGGAAGCAGTGAATTCTTGGGAGAATGGAAGATGTCTTATGGGGAGACATACTGGCCTCCCCACCCACTCACCACCCCAAAATGACACCTGACCCCTTCGTGTGTTTATATCAGACCATGGAAGTGAGAAATAGTGATGAGTCACTCTGGCTGTGTGTTTACACTCCGGAGTCACGCAAGGAAGGAAATCAGCCACGGTCTGCTAAAAGTGGCGAGGTGAGAGAGAATGGCTGCAGTCCCCCAGCGCTGCAGTGATTTACCTCCAGCCAACATTTATTTCATGTCATCTCTGCTGCGAAGACTTAAGACCAACAGAAAACAGCAGCATTAGCAGAGAAGTGGACTGTAGTCTAGGAAAGGTAACTTTAAATGTTTAAGTTTTCATTAAGAATGATACTTTAGACGTTTAATCCTCATTAGATACACTCTGTTGATCACATCCAGTTGCTTTCTAATCAAGGCAGGTGAAACACAGATCACTGTGTGGATTTGAATGAAAACATGCATCTCAACACAAAAACTAATTTCAGCGTGATGACGATTCATTTCCCTTTGTAATGTATTTTGTCATTTTCACAGAAACCTTCTCAGCAACAAGGACATCTGAGTAATTGCTCAATTTAATTTCCTACCGACTGATTACACGTTTTAAACCAACAGCAACGATATGAACTTATTCAAATGTTTGTTTTATTATTATTGATATACTATATTAATATCACAATTAATGTATAGATGTTTATTTTATGACATTATTTAAATGACTATGCCTGCCACATTTCAAATAACTAGTTATGGTTTCCTGCAAACAATAAAAAAATCAATTGATTAAAAAAAGTGTTCAAAGATTTAATGGCCCTTACTAATTACCTTTCGAAGAAATTATTATGCAGCGCTTATTATCTTAATTGATACTTAAATACTATTTGTTTGTCCCAGGTATACAAGGTTACACCAAATGTTATATACTTATTCTAACTTGGATGAAATAAAATGTTGATTATATTAAAGCTAGCAATAGTCACACCTAATCATTTCAGGGAAATATGTTGCTTTACAATGTAATAATATACTTGCATAAATGCATTACTTTTTTTGGAAATCCTAAAATAAAAATTACTTTGTAAATGTTTAAAATATAATAAAACAGAAAATGTAGGTTTCAGAACAAGATCACAAATTAGTATCTTTGTTTTGCACATCATCCAAAAGCCTGTGCATCAGTTTATATTGACAATAACACATGGGCATTTCCGGTTACTGTCCACTTTATGGACTCAAAAATAGAATATTATAATGAGAATGTTAGCATGGTATTATAAAATGTGTTTTTGAGACATGAATCAGTGATCATACTGGCCACGTACTGCTGTATGCTTTGAAATGTAAGGAGTGTTTACTCTGGCTACCACCAGTATTTTATACGTATTGTCATTGTTGTCTTCCGCACTGAGCGACTTTACACCTTAGATTGCATAACTGTTGTTTTGAAGAGACAGCTAGAGTTACTGCATTTGGGCTCTGAAAAGTGACACTTTATTTCTTTATATCATCACATTGGTGCAAGTAACTTCATTGCAGACTGTAGCGCGTATCCTGTTACACTCCCCCATACGCACCGCCACAATGAGAGAGTCAGCAGCTTTTATTTTGGCTCATCTCTTGTGAATTGTAAGTCCTGTCAGAGGCTTTGATTGATAGTTGTGTTTATCACCATATTATTAAGTAATCAGGCTCCACCACAGCTAGGCCCAGAGCTCCTTAATTTCAGCTAAAGCACACTGCTTCATGCTAATTAAAGGTTTGGCAAAAGTGTTTATTTTTGTGAATAAAGAAAAACATATATATATAGTTTTTCCGTGTTTTATGCAAGTGTGCTGATTGTTGCATTTGTTTCCTCCCTGGAAAATATTGTACCAGACTTCAGTATTGTTATCTGCACCAGAAACATGGTTATTTAAGGTCAGTGAAGAGAAGACAATGCTGCATAGACTGCATGTACAGTGTGAGAATCTTACATTATATACTGTTATTATTACTGTGAAACCTGCAAAATGTCAAATAAGGTACCTACAGTACAGTACGTCCATGTATACCATAAGGGGGTCAATCAGTCTGTATTGTGTATCAGCAGAGGTTCTTCTCGCTTCGTTAATAGAGCCCGCTGCAGGCTGCGTTTGTGTATTCCTGAGGTAAACACAGTCATGGCAAAGTGGACATGCTGCTGAGTGTGTCCTGACTGGAGACAGAGAGCACTGTGGCACTGACGGAGACACTGGCAGCTCTCTAGAGGCAGGGTTAATGTGATGAATGGCCATTTGGTAATGGGCCATGTATTAGGGTGAAATTGCTCTTTTAAAAGCCTGGGCTCGAGCCGCTGCTATGGGCAGTTTGATTCACCAATCAATCAGGTGGCAGATGTTTCATGTTGGATCAGTCAGCTCTGTCTCGCTCACTCTTACACACAAATTAAGGAGGAATTGCTTGAATGACTGCACGTAGCAAATGAAAGCGTAAATTCACCTGGGGAGACATTTGTGCAAAGTGTACAGATTTTTATATCCCATGCAAATATTTATATGTAACTGAAGATGTTGAGAGAATGTACATTTGAATTGAATAAGTTAGGATGATGTGATTATGAAGTTTTTTCTGTGCAATAAGGAAACCCATATTGCCCAATACTGTCACACATTATCCTTGTAACTTGTCAAATGTGCATTAATACTACCATTTTTTATTTATAATGTATGTTACATTATTTTTGTGTCAACACAGTGCTTTAGTGTTTTGGACATAATATCTTGAATCTGTATTTGTTTTATATTTTCATTACGGTAATACAAATTCAGGTTGAAATTGACGGGGGTGCCTGTTAATATTTGATCTGGTTTTCCATTGATCAGGATAAACTGCTTTACTGTATACTTGCTATGTTTTTCCACACACGCGCAATGTTGTAAATCACAGGATACTGATTTTAAATTGTATTATGTTAACATGTCTTCCTTTGAATAAAGTCTGTACGTTGAAATGAAGATGATTCTGAACAAGCAGCTTTAAACTATGCACTAAAATGGCACTGGCGAATCACTGTATCACAAATATGTTTACCAATCTGCATGTCAATTTGTGTGAAGCCACTTCAATTTACCCTGAAAGTTTCGCTCTTTGCCAAATTCAAGTCAAGAACCACTTACAGACCTTGTGATGTATGCCCTGTATTTCTGTGGCGGTGTGAGACTCGTATGATAAACACAGCTACGATACGTTTGGCAGTATTGAAGCTGTTGGTGGTCTCGTAGTTTACTCCAGTGTCATACGTTTTCTTCAACAACCGAAGGGTTATGGATCACTGTTCATTCTGTCTACATATCTGAATAAGAAGCCACCACTACTCAAGTTGATACCCAATAATGACCCGTTATCTAATTTATGATGTTTGACCTGGGATTTCTGCAGATTCACTATGGTTTATCTTGTGAACCAGAAAGCTCAAGCATGCTTTAAAAAAGAAAGAAAATAGCAGAGCCAGTGTGTTTCACTTCTGTCTTATATGGCATGTGCCACAGAGATGGACATTAAAGTAAAGGCAGTGCAGCAGTATTTTTAAATATTATGTATAAGCTTCATTTAAGAGTGTCTCAGCTTTAGGGGGAAAATAGATTATCTGGTGTTAACACATGAGCTTCTGATGCATTTAATGTATCTCAGATTTGGAAGGTAGTTGAATTTACTTTGAGCTTATTATCACTTCTGCCCTTAATATGAAAAAGATCGTGAAAGATACAGTGAACTTTCAGTGGTCAGTGATCCCCGGAGGACCTAATTAATGTGTGGATAATCAAACGCAGTGATATGCCATTTCGCCGTGTCCAAAAAGCCTTATCACAGGTGTTAGTAAGGACAGACAGATGGACAGACAGACAGACACATGGTTCCACTTTGACGTCTGCTAATTCCAGGGAATCAATCCTAAATGACACCTATGGGATACACAGAGTGGATTTCCCTCTGATGCAGATTGGTGGTGGTTTGCAGATGAAAGACAGTAAAATAAATAAAGTTGTGGTGAGCAGGCAGAGCTCTTCTGTCCACACAGTACAACCATAATGGGATACATGCTGACTGAGGGAAGAAGAGGAGGCCTGCTCCTGTTTTCACCACGGTTGCCACGGAAACGCAGATGAACTGCTGCTGCAAATCCAGAAAATCTGCTTTCATGTTTGTTGTTAAAAACATTCAGATTTCTTTCTTTTATTTCACATAGAGTTACCTAACAAGGGGGTAATAGTAATTAGCCGAAAGCAGTTCTGTTCCTTGTCACCCACTCTGCTGCTGATGCTGTTTTAATCCAAAAACACATGATTACATTAAACTCAGTAGCATCAAATTACTCGTTAACCTCCTCCAATCAATCTTTTCATCAGCTGCTGTGTCTGCGGTCAGCCTTGAGTAAGAATATTAATGGTAAGCTAATACTGGCTTGTCTCATCCTGGCTGAGAACTTGCATGATACTACAGGTTACACTGACCTCCTATTCCCGCTGTGCCTGCACACATTAGACTCTGTATTGTGCAACAATGCGAGTTTGCTGCTAAGCTCCTCCAATTGTCTCTGCATTTTATTATTGAAGAGTCTAGCTTAACGTCCAACTCAACTTAAATGTGGTGTGATTGTTGTTACATTGCGGGGTTGTTTGAGCTTTATTGTGCAAAAAGGCATTTGTGCAGAGTTTGACATAAAGCATTTTAAAATCCATTCAAAGGGGGAAAGTGTCTCTGTAGTTTATTTTAAATACTCAATTCAGTTTCAGTGTCAGAATAGTATGTAGAACATTGTTTGGTGACCTCTCAACAACTTTGGAAACCAGTCATGGTTATCAATGCAAGGTAGTATTTTTGTATTCATGCGGTTTAACTTTGTTAAGTACAATATTTAAGTCTTCATATATTTAAAGTGGGAGTACTAAATGCAATTTTTCTAAATGTTAATATTTCAAACGGGATATGTCTTTGTTTCTGTGTGTCTTACAAATGTTTCTTTAGGGGATCTTTACAATAAAAATCTAACTAAAAATGCAAGGGCAACGAATCAACTCACATAAATACATGCCTGTTTAGAGGCACACAGATGCACTTTGAATAGGAGCATTATCAAGGTTTTTGTCACCGGTGCCACTGAGGTGATTTATTCATATTCTGGTCGACTCCCGTCTGATTCACTCCAACAAATCACAGCCTGAGGTCTGTTTAACCCGGCACGCCACACTCATGTCTGTCTCCTTCTCTGACCCCCACACAGCTCACTCTGACTGGACAACACAGATATCACCCAGGGGCCGTTTTTCAAAGCTCAGCTGACAGGGAGTTGAGCCATCCTGTGCTCAAACCTCCCTGCAGCTTCACCAGGAAACATACGGTCCAATTGGCATCCCATATTTAATACAAATGATACAACAACAAAAAAACAAGTTAAATAAATCTGCTCATATGTTTAATGCACGTAAAGAGCATTTATGGTTGCTCATTACCTTTTAAGGACTCACCTCTCCATGTACAACTAATACCTGTTTGTTGAGAAGAGCTGTGAGTTTTTGTAATGATTAAGGGGTTTTTGACCACCAGCAGTGCCGTGTGACCTGGGGGCCCAGGGTGATAAGACCTCCATAACTCTACTTTATCCCTCTGCTCATTATCAACCTCTATCCCCGATCTGCCCTGCGCCCTCAGGCTGCAGCAGGGCAGCTCCTCTCCACCTTCCTCAGCCCTCCGCAGCCTGGAGATTACTGGGGAGACACACAGGCTCAGTTTGTCTAACCCCAAACACTTGACAGCTTCTTTCTGTGGGAGGCAGGGTTAAACATTTTGTAGTACTCAACCGCAAAAGAAGAAGAGTTATTATGGAGTAATTAGCAAAGGGTTTATTTTGAAAGATTTAGCATAATCTGATTGGTATTTTACCCAAAGTTTAGCTTAACCCTTATTCTTCCAACGTATAAAAGTGACCCCAAGAATAAACTATAAGAATGAGATAAATGTTAACAAACTTCTTCTCAAACATATGACTTTGATTGACTTTGAAATAATAATACTTGAGTATGGTTAACCTTAAAATGCATGTAACATTTAGTAAGTATATTGTTTGAGGGTTTTATACCTTAGTTCTGAAAATCTGTTTGTTGTACTGATGTAGTAAACACTGCACATATTCTCAGCATGATGTCATTCATTATATATTACACTCAGAGACGTGAACAAATCCTCAAATCAATTCAGTTTGAATCCTTACCAGAGTCACAGGTCTGCTGTCCAGGCTGTTGCCCTTGTCTTTTTTGTGGGAAAGTTATAGCAGTTAGTAGATGAGGCATAGGATATGTTTTAATATGAGAGGGTTTTCTTTTAACCTCAGGCTGTTATTGCTGGCCCTCTGAATCTGCCGCACAGCCACGTAGTTTTCATCACATTTTTTGAGTGGCAAAACACTAGCCTGTTTTAATTTGTTTAACTTTGATGTAACTTTAAGAGTTTTTTTTTTGTATGAAGTGAACCATCAGTGGCACATGATTGATGCCTCTTAAATTATAATTCATTGTTGTATATTACTTTTATAAAATTGAGACATAAAAAAAATGGTCTCTTTAAATTGCAAGATTCTCAAAATGAAATTGTGATTTTTACTCGAGTTACACATGGGTTTCAAAGTAGCCGATAACGAAAGCTCATATAATTTAGTTTTCTCCTACTACTGCATTTCTTCTTGGTTCTGCCTGAGCACTTCTCTCGGCTATTCAACTTGTTGTTTATGCATCCGTGTGCATGCAGACTGCACGTGAAGGATCGTTCATGTCGCCATGCATTGTGTGTTTGCTTGTGTCTGTGCTTTATATGAGAAGTATGAAGGACATGATAACCAGACCCACATTTCAACCTAGGAATCTGATAAAGAGACTATATCTGATTATAGCAGGTCTCACCAAAAGTGTAAGGAATAATCATCACATATTATGGAAACTGTATTTTTACTCAATATGAAAGATGTTGTGTTATGATATTTATTTATTATGAAAGTATTCCAAAGATGAATGATTCTTGTTATCTTGCATTGCATTAGTAATGCATACAACAGCAAATGTCTGGACAGATAATATACATTTATGTGATAGAGAGAATACTGCAAAAGGTATTTCTATCATGTGTAATTGCACATATTGTTGTTTGGTGTTAATCATGGAATAACAAGTCAAAGTGATAAGGTTGTCTTGCCAAAGTTGTTGCAAGCTGTTATACATTATACATATATGTATATATGTATTGCAAAGGGTTTATAAAAACATTTAGTTGTCTTACAGTTTGCAGTTATTTTGATATGAAGAGACAGTGTCAGTCTATCTGTCAGAGAAAGACCTGTGTAACTGGAGGAGGCTTTCTCGAAAGAGCTTGGCAGGCTCTGCATAGCAAAGTAAAACCCTGGACAATATTCCCACTTTATGCCTGAAATCAATAACCCAGGCCCCGGTGGTGGATGCACGCGAGACAGACCCCACACAGCGGTAAGCCTTTCCCCGTATATTCCCCTCACACCCCTCGATATTCCCTTCCTCTACATTACGCTAAAACCCCCCAGACTCAGCCCTGTGTGTCCTGCGTTCCTTAAAACACCCTCCACACCCCTCTCTTCATTCCATGTTTTTTTCTTTTCCCCACTTATGTCTTTCGCTTCTCATTTACCGCTCTCATAAGTAAGCTGGTTTGCAGAACACCACTGAAGGATATTGGGAAATAGCTGTAAAATGATTCATCATCTGGCTGACCTTTACCACATGCATTCGTTTTTGTGCTTGCGAGCGCATAAGAGAGAGGAGCCAAGAGCGGGGAGGGGGCAAAGGCGTGCACATTTCTTGTTTTAATTTCTCAATTGGCTCTTAACCAGGGGTCAAAGGTTGGCTTAGCACAACAGCTTTGACAAGATAAGCACCTGTTTCTCTGCTGTTAGCGGCTAGAGTTATCCTATTACCCTCAATATGTAAACCTCTCA